CCTACACCTTCAACACAAACCCTCCGCGACTCAATTTGTAAAGCCGGAGTCCATCTAAGTCCTTAGCCCTGCGCGTAAAACCCGAACCCTCCTTCTTGAAGCCGAAACCCTCGCTAGACACCACTGCCTGGCCTGCGGCCGCGTGGTGTGCGATGGCTGCTCGCGAAAAAGGCCTCGGCCTGCAACCGTCGGAGATCCTCTTTGCGCTTCGCTTGTTCTGAGAATAACAATAGTTTTCATCATAGTATTAACATCTGTAATGTGAGTAGTAGTTGTACGACTAATAGTAGTAACAATATATGATAAAAATGAAAGAATTTAGCTAATGTAATGGTAATGGTCCCAGAGTTTCGGGTTGAGGATTGAGGGATTCGGGGTCCAGGCACGTTTGGTGCCTTCACAGAGATGCGTGCTCACGGAGGAACCAAGAGCTTCCATCCTATGTTCTGCTGGTTTCGCAACTGGATTGACCTGCCGTGGCAAACCTCATGAAGAAACAGAAACAGCATGGGCCTGTCTATACTTCTAGGCTGTCGGATTCTCCAGATTTCGGGGTTATCTTGTAAGGTGCATGGTTCCTTCAGGTGCCGTGACGAGGTTGTTAGTTGAAGCCTGGTATCCAGGCTCCCACTTAGATCCTGCTGCTGCAGGATGGTCGAGGGTGATGCGTAGCTGGTGGGTCTTCTGCTTGGGCCAGAGAACTCTGCAATGTGTTTTTGGTGCTGGATTTCTTTTGGGTGTTCCAGGGCGCCTGACTGGATGCTCTCTGTCAAAGGTCTGCCAAGCGGGTACCTAGCATAGGAGCCCGATTATTTTCACTTAGAGCGGAGACTTTCAAACCCCAAACTCTTGGCCCTCCCCGCCAATAGCCCTGGTTAAACCCAAACCCTTCAACTCCAAGCCCGTAGCTCCAACACACCAACACCTCAAAATCACAAGCCCAAAACCTAATCCGGAACCCTTGAGCCCTATCTCCCGTATCCCGGAGGCTCGCGCACGCACATCTTGGCTTCACTGTCCCGGTGCGGACCTGCGAAACTTTGCTGCCAAGGGCCAAGGGTTTTCGGGGTTTTGTGTTTAAAGGGTTTGGGATTTTGGGTGTTTGAGGTTGTTGCGAGCCTGTTGGCCCTAAGCCCTAAACTGTCGCTTTGGCCAGAATGAGAGCCTGCGGCCTCAGAGGTTGCACAGCCGGGGAATCAAATTGCTTCAGGCCGGCAGTGACCACCACCGGGACAGTACCAAGAGTGCTGATACAAGTTGAAATAGTGTTCGCCAGTGTTGCATCAGCAAGATACATAGTCGTAAGCCGTAACCACCACTTTGCCAAATGATGGGGAGTCGTAAGCTGTTACCACTCAGTGCCAATAAATGAACAATAACCCACAGGATAAAACAAAATCGTTATTATCTTTGTGATAGGTACACGGGCAGCAGGAATGAGCACAGTAGCCGCAGCAGCAATATACCCTCGGCAGTGACACTGAGAGCCATCTTCATCGTCACCACCATGCTCATATTCCGATATTCAGTCTGTTTCAGCAACGCTGGAAAATCAATGAACAAACCGCATCTTGCTTTCTCGCCCGTTATCGAGGTAGTAGGAGTTAAATGATATGTGGGTGCATATCTGGGTTATCTAAGCAGAAATCCCTCTGTATCCCAGATCCCCTTCTCCACGTTCAGCTGTTCTACAAACTGCCTGCAGCTGGAACTGCAGAGCGAGCGTCATCCTAAACCCTGAAACTAAGCTCGAAGTTGGCAAGCTGAGGACAGCTGCGCTTTCGCGCAGTTCGAAGGAGCAGACGAGGTGCAGCTTTGGGGTTGGGGTTGAGGCACGTTGAGGCCTTCCTTTTGACCCTCAACACTCAGCCTTGAGTAGCTTCAAGCTCTGCCTGTCAGTCTCCTCACAAGCACTTGAAACTGTCGGTCCAGTCTTGTGAGGGCTTCTGTTGCGAGTCCAGTTGCTTTGCCTCTTGAAGGGGACACGCTCGCTGTTGGAAACCTGTGAAGCACCCGAAACACTGCCACGGGCCGTCCTGTACATGTGGGCAAACCTCACCTCACCTACGTCGCTCATCTCATTGGTCATGATTCCATGAATGGCGGAGCCCAGAAGTGGTGGAAGTGAACTGAGCTTTCACTCATCATCTCCAAGCCACAAGCCAGATTCCTGAATCAAGCAAAAACCACTCTCAACTTTTTGATCCCTTGAGAAGCCCTGAGCAGCGCCCGAGTCGAGCCTCAGGCTGGTTCCTTGAGCCACACCGAGCCGAACTCGAGATAAGTAGAGTACAAGAGTTCTCCGGGTGGTTCCTTTACAGCTTCTTTTTTGGAGGCGCTCGTGGCCTTTGCTGCAGAGGACTGGCATACGGGGTACATGCTACCATCTAACATCTCCGTCCTACGTGTGCGAGTATGCACCTGGTCTCGAAGCCCCGAAGCCTCTTTCCTTGACCCTGAACCCGAGAGTGATCCCAAACCCAATGCAAGGCCCTTTGGCCTGCTCTACCCGCCGCCCCCGAGCCCAGAATTCCCAAGAAAGACCTGGGATCGCCGAGGCAAAAGGGCCCTTGCAGCAGGTTTGTAGGTTAGTCGCCACCCCCTTCCCCCCCTTCCGCCTTCCGCCCTCCGCCAGCATCTCCTGATGCAGTCATGTTCAAACGAAGGAGGAAGCGGCAAAGCAAGCGGCGAAGGCAGTCTGAGCTCCACGCCGGGGGTCCAGCATGGAGATGGGACGGAAGGGGATAAGATAGGCTGAGCTCCCCGACCCACAGAACTGTCCAGACGCAATATAGTGAAGTGCCTATCGTTTCTGTGCTAGTACCTGCAGGCCAAAGCAAGTAGTCATGGGGAAGGCAGTGACGACAATGACCAAGTTGTTTAGCAGCCCTAAGCTTCTGCTGTCGTCGTTGATGTTATTTGTCATCGTGGATGTTGTGGTTCTTGTTCCAGTTCTAATTGCTGTTCTAGTTCTTGGTCGTGGACTTGTTCTTTCTCGAGCATCAGCAGTGCGTGGTTTGTAGTGGCCGATGTGGCTGATGTGTTGAAGGCGGTGGCGGTGGCCGCGGTGGTGGTCGTAATGGTACAGTCTTCAGTGGACATCGCTTTCAAAGTGCGAATACTGCAGTACTGCATCTGCAAAGCTAGGGCATGCTCATGATTAGGCTGGCGCTGGGCCCCAACAAGACCGCTAAGCACCAGGAAGTGGGTGATCTTTTTTGCTGTGAAAGCCTGAATATGTGGCAATCGGCAGCCCCACACATGTTTGCCGATCAGGGCCTCAGCATCTGGAGAACCAGTTTTCCATAGCGCAGACAGAGATTTCAAAGGTGGCAAGCCACGAAAGGCCAAACATGTTGGTGGCTTGCGCCCGCCATGATGGCATCATTGCTTGCAGGTATCCCGTGGATTCTCTTTCCCCTCTCGTGTAGCATTACGTATTCAGGCATGGCGGGTAATTAAGCATGACCCTGTAGTGTCAACCGGAGCTGCGCAAGCATATTGACACATGTTCAGAACTACAGCTGTAGCTCGTGAGGATACGAAAGTTAAGCTTTGAGAAGCTGTGTGCATGGGCAGTGGTTTTGCTTTGAGCACGGAGCTCATCTACTGTCTAGATCTTGGCAGACTTCCTGCTAGTGCGATGGATCACGTAGGATTGACAGATGCGCCAGTGGTGGTCATTGTCATCGTAGTCTCTTTGCGCTAACATCTAAGGGAAAGACAAAGGAGACCAAAGCTTAGGATAATCATTGCTGTTGATCGTCGCCACTACATTCCTGCTAATTGCGAGCTCTTACGCCAAGTGAGAGTTGGAGGAGCCACAGTGGTGCCATGTACATACAAGCAGCGCCCTGCCGAACGATCGTTGACACCTTGTCCAAGCTTGTAGGTGGGTTCCGACAGCTCCAGTGTTTGTAGAAGCAGCAAAATTGGTGCCAGTAGGTGGTGGTGGTGGTGGTGTAGAAGTAGAGTGGGAGGGCAGCGGGAAGGAGTGCAGGAGATTCGGAGGGTGTAGAGAAGAAGTAGGGGTGGCAATAGCAGTGTCCGTAGCTGTAGCAGTAGTCTGTTTCGTCGTGGTGGCCGCCGCCGTCGTCGTAGTAGTAGTTTGTGTAGATGTACTTGTAAAAGGTGGTAGCAGAAGAGACGTATCATACCTGATGTTGCCAACCCGCCTGAAGCTGGTGGATGTGTTCGATCGTGGCTGCACCTTTGTGAGCCGGCTTCATGTTGAAGGCGTTGTTAGCATCCGCACAGTCTTCTGGGCAAACGGTTCCATATCTTGAGAAATCGGTCAGTGGAGAACTCCCTGCACCTGGCTCAGCAGGACTGCCCTGGAAGAGTAGGGAAGAGTAGGGTTTAGGGATATATCATGAGGACATCTACAAGTACCCTCAAACCGTTCTGGATGTAGGTTCGACTGTGCCATAGCTGCATGCGGGTTGCAAAAGACGAATGCCTGGAACGACTTGAAACTTCCCCGTCCTGGGCTTCTGAGCTTGGGATTAGGGTGAAGAGTGGTTGCTTTCCTGCAGCGCCTCAACGGTACAGCGAGCGCCTCGCACTTCGTGCCCGCACGATGACAAAGAGCCGTCGAACGCAACTGGTGTTAGCTACTGATCAGTCAGATGCCCTGGTTCATGAAGGCTGACAGACTTCGAAATCCTGCGACTTGAATTCCTCACGAACCCTACATCCGAAAGCCAAGGTGAGGCCAACCCGTAGCTCCAGAAGCGCTAAATCTTCCAACTATGAGTTGTTCCAAAGCAGGGTTTTGTCTAGGTGCGGATCTCAACCGGAATGCAGGAACAAGGAGCCGTGAGCGGGATCGAATAGATATGAACAGCTGGAGCAGACCACAAAACCCCTATAGCCCAGAATGCGGCTTAGAGGATGTTATCAGTTGACCATGAACAGATTCGGTCATATGGGGTGTATCAAAAGAGCCGTAATACTAGTTATCACGCCACCGACTGTTCCTAACCCTGTTCGCGTCGCAGGTGTCAGTCAATGGTGACATCGTCGTGCAAGCGACGTTTGCACTGCCTACCGAGAGGCCGCGAAACTAGCAACTAAGTGTCGAACTAAGTACCTAACTATCGAGCGACGCCAGCTAACCCAATTACCATGTCACCAGCTCCTAGATAGCCTTGAGGGTTTGAGGTTCCGTCTCGACTCATATACTTGCTTGTGGTTTCGCTCTTCGGTCACGGATGCCTCCGGAATTCTGAACCTGGAAACCGAGGCCCCTCACCAAAAGCCCCAAGTCCTAACGTAGTCCACCGACCACTTCTGTTAGCTCTCAGCATTGTCTCAAACATTGCCCGACGTTAGCAAGTACGGTCTACCTGCGTATATACTCTTGCACACAATGCTCCGGGTTTAGTTGCATCTTTTGGGCCCTCGCCTGCCTTTCGCTTGGCTGGCTCAGTCCAAAATCGGAGTTCCGATTTGGGCAAGAACGAGCGCCTGAGCAATAGGATCATTTTCGTGATGGTTCCTGCAGGTGGAATGGCAGGTTGCGAAACTTAAAGCCTTAAAGTCTAAGCTCGACACCCTAAAACTCTGAAGACGGCAGGCCGCTTTATGCCGTCGTTGATCTCATCGGCGCCGCTACCTCAGAATGTGCCGGGGTTCGAGGCCATCCCAAAGGATCGAGAGGAAGACGCAATGCACCTGAAAGTCGAAATAGCAAGGGAGACTGAATAGCTTGCAGTTTGATTGCTCTTCTATGACATATTCACTGCTTTTGAAGCCCTGTAGCTAGAATGGATGTGCAAGAGCAGGGCTCGCGTCTTTCGAGGCACTACAGGCCCAGGATCCCAGACTCAGAAAAGTGGAGTTGAGACTTTGTTCAAATCCAGCTTTAAAGACTTGTGGTTCTTTTGGGCACGCGGTTTGCTTGCAAGGCCACTCGCAGCGTGACCCTGATACCTGATGCGCAGCCGCCGGTGCTTGACCCTGCTTCGTCAGTGGCTGAGCAGAGTTGAAAGGACGGAAGCATTTGGACTGTTGCTTGTATGCTTTCTGCAAGTCTGACACTGTCCGGATGTCGTCGTCATAGTAGCCGTCGCGTCGTCGTCGCCGTCGTCGTCGTGGTTGTTGCAGCGTTGGTGTTAGTAGATGTATTCGTAGTAGTCGTCTCAGTGGTGGTTGGCACTGGTAGTAGTAGTGGTAGTAGCAGTAGTAGCAGTCGTCGTCGTCGAAGTGGTGGTAGTGGTAGGGCAGTAGGAGAAGTAGTAGAGCTTGCATTGGCAGCAGCAGCAACTACAGTAGTTGTGGTATTGATGGTGACCGTGCTAGTTTCAGCGGCAGTGACAATGATAGTGTTACTGTTAGTGGAAGGAGACGTACAAGCAGAAATATCAGTAATAAATATAGGTAGAGGACGAGGGTATACTAAAAGTGGAATTAGCAGTTGCAGTAGACAGACGCAGAAGGCGTCGTGGACATAGACATGGACTTGGTAGCAGGAGTCTTTGTAGTGTCGTCGTCGTAGCCGTAGTTGTAGCCGTCGTCGTAGTACGTCGTCTTTCATGCTCATGACTTGAATAATCACAACAAGGCTGTGGTCACATCTCTCGTCGCCGGCAGCACGAGTAAGCAGCAGCAGCAGCAGCAGCAGCAGCTGCTGCGTGGTATGTAGAAGTGGCGATAGTGGAGTCCGAGACTCCAGACCCGAAAGTTTACAGTTTAATTCGTGAAGCCCACCAGCCCTCGGCGGATCATACTGGTTCCGAAAGCAGCGTTTCATATAACCAACTTAGCGCAAGGCCTCCGCAAGCCTTCGTCCCCCCAGATTTGAGCTGGGACCCTGGCAGCGGGGTGGAGGGGGCTTTCGGAGCCTAGGGGTTTTCCCTTTCTTGAACATCTGCTCCTTGTTCGGGGATTGAAATGGCCATCGTGTTGGACTTGTCGTGGGCTCTTTGGGATTCAAGGCTTAAGGGTTCAATCAAAACATGTACTTCCGCTACACCGCAAGGGGGGATCCTTCTGTTTCTTTGTGAATTGGGTGCTCCTGCTTTACTCAACGTCGCAGCAGACGTGGCCAAGTCGTCGAAGCTAGGTTAATGGTATCCTGCGACCAGCACTTCACAGCGGTACTTAATGCTTCGGCACAGGGTCTTGCAGTATCGGAATTTCGGAATGGATCTTGCCAATAGAGCGATTCAGAACTTACGGTTTCGGGTTTGAGTGGTGAGTGTTGAGGGTCCGAACCCGAAAAGTTCAACTCCGAGACTCTTCCACGTGCGTATGCCGTGCCTGCTCTGACTCAGGTCTGGTGCTTGAAGACTTTCGCCAGTCTTGTCCAGGAAGTCTTGTTGTAAAGACACGTTTCGAGTTTTCACAAACTGGCATAGGGGTAGTTTCATGGCTGGACCTGCCAAACTTTCTGAGGTGAAGATCCTTTCAACGCACCCTCGGAGGCCTGAAGCTCGAGGGTTGTGTGCAGGATGCTCTTCAGTTCTTATTCTCTTGCTCCAGAGCCAAGGGAAGTCTCAATGTTGTTCATGGGAGAGGTAGTACTGTAGCGCCCCGAAGCCCTCAACCCCTTGAACAATCCTAACGAACGAAGGACCATGCAACAGTTACTGCATCTCCGTGAAATTCACGGAATCTCTCGCGCAGCCCGAAAGCCCTACCATGAGAGGCCGGCGACTGCGTGGCCTTGCCCTCGAACATTGGGTTTATGGCTTCGGAATGAGAGGTAGGTCTGCGACTCTGGGGCGCAAAGTTGGTGTCAGCATGTTTGCACGCGGGTATGTGACTGAGTGCCATCCAGCGTGTATGCATGCACAAAGATAGTATGTTGCATCTGTAAGCAGGAATACAACGTGGGTGGGCAACATGCTGTCTGTGCTGATCGGTTGTCTGTCCATACCGTTTCTTGACCTCATGCCTACTGATAACCGGACTCAAATGCTGATTCAGACAGCAGAGAGATTGCAGGAATTCTTCTACACCTCTTGCGAGGTAGAGGCAAAAAGACAATCTACGATTCCACGAAGTGTAAAGGCAGCTTGAGCAACAGCACAATACTTGTGCTTGCATCTAGATTGGGAGGCGTTGTTAGTTTTGGGTCCTCGTTGTCCCTGCAACTTGAACTTCCATCTAAAGCCAGAGTGGTCGAGACCCGAGCTCTCACCTTCAAGGCCTTCCAAATTACATGGCACATCGTGAGGTGTGGCTGTTGGTCCTTTACGGTAGTGATGGGAGTCTTTGGATGTGATTAAAGGAATCCACAGCCCCGGAACTTGGAGCTGTGGCTTGCTGGGCTTAGGCCGTGGAAGATGTGGAGTTCGAAGACGAGGCGCAGGCGACTGGACATCTGCAGTTCCAGATTTTGGGCACGTGTCAGCTGCGCTTTTCGGGGGGAGTCTTCAGGCTCTAAACCGTCGAAGGACTGAGTACAGGCTCGAGCGAAACCAAAGGTCCCTTACCGGATGCTTTGGTTCCGTCGATTCGGACTTCAGGGAGCCTAGCTGATCTGAATCCGTCGGGAGTTTGAGTGTGAGTGTAGTGAGTGTAGTCTCGGATAAGTTTTTGCAGAGTAACGAGTAATCAGACGCCATATCCTAACCCCAAACTCTCTCTAATCCTGATGTCCACGCCAAGACGTTCCGCGCCTGTGGATGCGGGACACTGGGTTGCCGTGATCATCGCCATACTCAGTTGCATCGGTGTTACCAACACTACAGCTGCCACAACTCCCACCGTCAGCACCGGCAGCAAGGGTGTTAGAAAGGCGGCAACGCCACGAAGGAGTAGGATCACTACTGCTACTTTCATCATTAATACCTTCTTAAGGCTTGCTTGCCAGCACATCGGTTTCTAACGCGGGGGAACTTTGGCACATGACGTGCTACCCCCCAAGCGCCCGAACAGCGACTGATCCCCGGACCACTCCGATTGTGAGATGAACGGTCTGTCTCGCGAGGCCGATCCTGAAGAGCCGCGAGAGACGGAGCGTGTCGAGGCTCATGCCAAGGGCAGTGATGCTGGCGGTGATGGTAGCAGTAGTAGCAGGAGGAGTAGTGTGGTTGTACGACTGCAACAGTTAAGAACTGCCTCTCCCCCCTCCCTCCTGTTGCTACTCCTCCCACTACCACAACGACTGGTGGCGTAGTAGTAGTAGTAGTAGTAGTAGTAGTAGTAGTAGTAGTAGTAGTAGTAGTAGTAGTAGTAGTAGTAGTAGTAGTAGTAGTAGTAGTAGTAGTATGACGACGTGCGAAGGACCCGTCAACTCTTGCTGCCGTCAAAGTCTCAGTGATCCCGCCGGAGGTGGCCAGCTTGGGGAGGGAAAGGAATAGCGGTTTGGCTGCTTCGGCGTCTTTAGAGAGTTGTCCGTGTCGTCCAGGGGTCTTGCGGCTAATAAGCGTGCCGGACTTCGAACAGCGCATTCCTGCGCCCCCCAAAAACCTTAACAACTCGTTCGTGCATAGTCCACCGAGAGGTTGCCGAGCAGGCGTCGAAGGTAAAGCCCGAAGAGGCGACCTGGGGAGGGGGGGTCGGGCTTTGGGGGTTGAGGGTTGGCGGTTCATACTTTCTCGAGGTTGAGGGTCTTGGTTTGCGAGTGTAGAGTTGAAGCCAATTGAAGGTTTGGCTATTACAATAAAAGCCGTCGCAAGGGAGGTACCTTGGCGCCGCACGAAGCAGCGGGGTTCGTCAGCCTGTGCAAGGAGACTTGCAAGGTTCAGGGTTTGGTCGAGTTCCGTCGTTGCAGTCTATGAGATTTCTGGGTTGGTGCCTTCGTTGTATAGTATATGTTCGGGGTGGCAAGGGTAGTGTGTAGAGCTGAGGACTGAAGCAGGATCTAAGCATATGTGGGTGAAATCCAAAGGACTCGCGCACCTCAATAGCTGGCCAACGATGTTCTTTTGTACCTCAGCACGCCTCCGATATAGTATGTCGTCTGCACCAAAAAGTGTAATACCTTTGCTGTCTTGATGCACAACCGATTAGAAAGCATGCCGCAATCTTGCACTTCATCCTGGTTATTGGCAGGCGGAACAGCAGCTTGTGCCGGAGGCGGGCTTTCGTGGGGTTGCTAGCCATCGCAATATGCACTGTATAAGGAGGACGTTCAACAATCCTGAACCTGCACCAGGTGCCATCTGGCGCTGCGGATGTAGTGCTGGGACAGCCTCTGCAGGACGCAAGCATGCTTGTGGGGTCTTTAGAGTTTAGGATCTCAGCCCACGCCGCAAGCGCGATGACAGAAACCGAAGTCGCTTCCCTTTGTTCACGCGGCCCGGCAGATGTCTGCTCGAGCAGTAAGAGAAGTTTCGCCGAATGTCACCCTCGGGTGCATTTTTGAAAGCCCGACAGACTCAGAGTCACGGCTTACACCTCACGGCCCCGCAAACTCTACCCTGTTAGAGAAGCATAAACCTCCCGTGTGGAGCTGGTGCGAGGAAGCTGCAGCGCAGCCAGAAGCCAGGACTTCGGCCGCCAAGTTTCCTCGAAGGGGCTGCATTCAGTAGAAATAGCTATGGCTCTAGAAAAGCATCTTCGACTTCCCAAGAGGGAGGGAGGGAGGGAGAGAGAGAGAGAGAGAGAGAGCGAGAAAGCCAGTCATGACGTCTTTGGGGTCAGACCGCTAAAACCTATACTAGAAGCCTCAGTAGCCATAAAGAATCTAACCTCAGTATTTTTCCCAGCTAGCAGCAAAACATATGCCGCGGTGCTGCCGAACTGCCGTTCTTGGCTTTTCGGCCCGTTGTCTCATCCCTGAAACCTGTAAGCACGCAACAGTCCTATTCGTTGAGGCTCTGAGTCGGATTGTTGGATTGTGGCGTTCTAGCTTGGGGTGCAGACCAGAAGCGCTTGCACATTAGTGTCCTTACCCCGGTAAGTATATCGACAGATAGATAGATAATGGACAGGTAGACAGATCGGTAGAGAAGCAGATAGGTACTTAGATAGACAGATAGAGAGGTAGACAAACAGACACACAGACAGACAGATCGATCGCTCGATTGATTGATAGGTAGATAGATAAGCCATGTAGATACATAGGTAGAAGATGGATCGATGTGGACATCAATAGGTCGACAGATCGACCGACATACAGAAAGACGGACCGACGGACGGACAGACAGACAGACAGACGGCTATTCAGCTAGGTACGTAGGTAGGCAGGTAGGCAGGTAGGCTGGTAGGTAGATAGATGGACGGATTGCACTGGCCACGGTGCTAACTCCGCAGAACTATAGCACAACGTACTCTAGCCCAAAGCCATGCTTGTGCTGCTATTCTTTCTGAGCCAACGATCCGCATCCAGAAACATCAAGCCAGTCTTACAGGAGCAGTGCGGCTCTGCAGGCCGTGCTGGCCGCGGAAGGCCATAAGTTTTGCACCATAAGATCCAGACTCGACCGTTGAAGCGCAGAAGCCTAGGAACATGGACTGTTCGAGGGTTGATTAACGTCCCTGCTCTGCAAGAACCTCTGCCTCTGACGAGAAGACAAATGTTCATGTATGGGCTTCGTGCTAAGGAAGTGTCGGGTCTAAGGTATAGGGCAGGGATTAATGAAGGGTTGACAGTGAACATGGATCCGATGCTTTTTGCTTCAGATTTTGGGCTTCGAGTTTCGCAAAGATCAGAGCTGTCCGTGATATATTGGTCAAAACCTCCTGCTTTGTCACAGGGCCGGGGCGCCCCTCGCTCAACAAAGTGCGTGACAATTTTTTTTGCGACAAGGCTGGCGCAACAAGGTCTATCATACAGCATTGCCGTGCGACAAAGGTTTGAAACAAAGCCGGCGCGACAAGGGGGTTTGTAACGGAGGGGGGGGGGTGTGGGGCCCCGCGACAACACGGGGTATTGACCCATCCCCGAATATTGTACATGTCTGTGGCTCCACCTACCTACCCAGATATACCCCCCCCATATTTAAGGGTCATAATCTACTGGTTTGAGCCTAACCAGCCCAACCCCACAGCCGGCGGAGCTAGAACCTTGGTTTCTGTCCATGTGCACAAAGCATGTTCCTAAACCCCAACCATCCTAGACAGCCCCAAACCCGGCAGCAATTAAGCCATGAGCCTACAGCCTAAACATCCTGAATATGGTCATCCGAACCCCCGTCATTCCCTGCACAGCTCGCGCAACGCTGCCGGTCGGGGACGAGTCCAAGCCCGGTCCGGCGAGCGGAGTCCCTGTCACCTCCGTGTCGGAAGGCTCCGTTCAGCCGTTTAGGGCTTGTCGGGTTTGCAAGGCCCAGAGGATTCGCAGTTTGTTTATCATGTTTGTTCATGTTTACTGAGTTCGGGGATTTATAGGAGGGCCTGATCCCAGAGTGTGCGGGTTTTTGCTTGTAGACGTGGGCTCTGAAGTTCATTGCGGTGTTTTGGGGCTGCTCCTCGGATTGAATCTCGGCTAGCATTGCACATCTCTTTGCATCTCATTATCCTACCACGGCCTGTCGTGTACACTTCTCGAGACCGCAGCCTGTGAGCAGAGATCACGGAAAGCTCCAGCCCCTCATGCTCCCCTCGCCCTTGTCCAGTGTTTCTTGTGGGGCTCTGCCTGAACTATCGTCCACCCATGCACCGCTTTCCCCCAAGCGTGCAGTCAGGGTACTTCTGATGCACAAGTCTAAACCCTAAAGCCTAACTTTTAACTCTAAGCCTAGAGAGCCACCTCAGCGGCTGCAGTCCCCACATCTTCGGTGCCGCCGGGACAGAGCAGCAACTCTGGTCCGGCAGCTCCCGCAGGCCAGTTCTTGCTGCGTAGACTACAGGAGGGGCCGTGATAAGTAGAACAGGGTTTTGGGGTGTACTAAATGACTGAGTAATGCCGACCCAGGTATTACAAGGTAAGTCTTGCGAGGATGTCTCCGCCCCTTGGTGCTACGACATTCGCGACTTACGTTGCAGGGTGGTTGCAAGTTTTTGCACGAAGCTGTGAACTTGGCTTTCTCTTTGAAAGTGATGCGCTCACGCTTTGCATGAGACTCTTCGGCCCAAGCGATGGACAATGTGTCGCCTCGATGATGTCCATCTGCATCCACAGCCAACAGCTTGATGGGCCCAGTTAAACCGACCGCACTGACCCTCCAACTACCCAAAGCGGGCATGTCGGCGATTCGGTATCAACTCCACAGACAACCTATCCTGGACCTGAAACCTCCCGTCAACCGACAGGCGCCGCGGTGGCAACCAAAGCTGCGACGACGGAGAAGGAGAACGAGCCGCCACCTGGCTTGCCATAAGCCCTGGCTTTTGGCGGGCTTTGTAGGTAGTTGCCAGGCTCTGGGGGCTTCTGCGCGAGATTGCTGCACGTCAAGCTTCTTCTGTGGCGCCGATTTTAGGTGTATTGACCCTCACCGTGGAGAAGCGGGAAGGGCAGTTTAGGATATAGTCTTTAGGGTTTGGGGGTTTGGCGGTTTAGGGTTCAGGGTCTAGAAGGGACGCCAAGAGGTTTGGGGAACCACATAGGTTGGGATCCAAGGATGCGTTGCCGGGGCATTTAATGGGATTGTGTCGGCTCACGGGGGTGTACCTAAGCCCTAAGCGGCAGGCTGGGCGCAAGCCCACCCGAAACGGTTTAGAGTTTGGGGTTTGGGCGGATAAGCTTTCTGAGGTTGAAAGGGAACCCATCCAACAGTGCGCTTTCGACCAAGATCGAAGCTCAACGTGCCGGCCGCCTCCAATGGCGTTTCCGCTGTCCGTACTCGCACAGGCCGGACCCCTCATCTGGCAAATCGGCAGACTTCAGGTAAATTATCATCTTCATCTTTCTATAAAGAGTGCTTTACGGTTCCGTACGATCCGCTCCAGGAGTCGTACCAAAGCCTTCATGGCTAAAACAAGGTTGTGGCAAACGCGTTGTCATACTTCTGAGTCCTGAGCTTGAAATGCCAGAGGGTTTCAAGTGCAGCCAGGCCCGAAGCGGAAGCCGGTGAAGGGCGCGCGCGTGCGCGAGGACATGGCACCGAAGAGCAGCCTTTTCGCATCATCCCGTGGCAGGCATCAGAGGTCATTTTCTACAGCATGTGTGTGAGAATACATATCCGTACATGGTTTTGTACATTTATCCTCCCTATGTTTACTGACGGTTCTGGGGTTTGCCGGGTATCAGGATTCGTGGGGCTCATGCTCGCGGTATTTCGCAGTCTTTTGATGGGTTTGGGATGGAATAGTTTCGGGATACTGCTTTGCATCCATTTCAGGGCTTATATAAAACTTACAGGTTTTCTGGAGGTTTAGATGGTTCCCAATCTAATATCCTTGGAATCAAAGGAACCACTTGTACCATGGTGGGACTGCGACATCAGGGCCTGTGCACGGGTATGAGAGCTACGGCTACATTGAATTTGGTGGGATTCGGGGCTTCTAAGTCTATTGTTTCGCGGGGTAGGCAGCTTTTCTGGTGTGAGCAGAGCTCTAGTTCCATTCATAGTTGTCCGAAGCGCGCAGAAAATTCGCCCAGCCTCTGGAAACATGCAGAGTGAACAGATGTGTCCTCTGCATGTAGGGTTCCTTCAAGCGGCCGAACACGAACGCTCCAAGCCACATGTATGACATCCCCAAAACTAGCCGGATAGCCTTAAGCCTGCAACGCCAGAACCCTAAACCCTTATCCCGAAACCTTTCAGTTCCTGGCCGATGCCCCGCAGCCCAGGTGCGGTCTCAGGAAGCTCCGCGGCAGCGGCCGCCACATGGCATGCACTGGCATCGACTGAACGTCTTGGGCTTTGGGTTTGGGCGTTTCTCGGTTTCGACTTTAAGTGTGGGCTGATGCTTCGAATGCGTGTTTGCATCCTAGGTTAAGAATTCAGAGCATGAAAGGGGCCTGGTGCTTAGCAGTTCAGTTCAGACATGGAGCTACGGACGAATGACTCGAATGATAGAGCAGTCAAGTATCGAGAGACAGTAGCAGACGACAGGCAAGAAACATAAAGAGCTCACAGACGGTATCCGAACTTACTACTGGAACATCACCGGCACAAGGTCATGAAATGGAAGTGTCTGCACATAGTAGAGTCACCTTCTCACACAGCGTAACAGCAGAACATGTAGAGACCCATACAGCTTCCAAAGCTGGACACAAGTAGAGGAGGCAGTGATACATAAATCCGATATTTCGACGGCATTCTTGTGTTATGCCGCGATGTCAGCAGAACGCATAGTGGCGCGCCGTTAGTCCTCTGTGGGCTGTAGAATTGAAGCTGTTAGCTCCACAACCTTGAGTCGACCCCCCCCGTGAAAGCCCACAGGAGCCTCATGGCTGAAGAGTCCCCAAACCCAAGCCCCCTCTTCAAGCTCTCTAAAATCCTATTCCCTAAAGCCCCTGAGAGCCCCAAACCCCTAAGCCCCAAACCCCGAAGCCCGAAACCCTCGGCTTTGGCCCGCGAGGCGAACGCCTCTCAGGGCTTCCACGAGAGGAAGAAAGGCGGGCTCGGAGTTGCGGGGCTTTCAATTCGGCTTAGGCTTTAGGGCGGCCTCGGGTTTACGAGGTTTAGGGTTTGCAAGGTTCAGGGATTGATTAAGTTGGCATCGGCTGGGTTGGATTGCATCCCTCGTCGGTACGTGGGAAGCTTCTATATATGAAGGATGTCCCTGCAAAGGGCTAAAGTAGCTCGGTCCTTGTTCCTGGTGGTCAGTCGGCTGCTCAATGACACATTTACGGTGGCAAAGGCGGTGGTGTTGCTGATGACAAGTTTTCTTCTGAGATGCTGCGTGGAAGCATCCTGGCAAATGAAAACAGCTTGCTGGACGCGGACCCTCTCAGATCCCAAACCCGTAACGCCGAGAGCGCAAAAGGCCTAGACTCCTAGACCTTTACCCCGAGGTCATTCAGCCCTGGATCGGGAATCAGAAGCCGGCTAAATCCAAAGCCGGCCGATCGATTTGCTCCTTAAAAAATCTCGAAGCCGAGAGCCCCGGAAGCCCCTGGCCAGCCCTGGCGCCAGGCAAATACGTGACGGTGTCGCCCGGCGGCCTCCGGGCCCGGCATCGAGCGCCGGACATGGAGACCCCTGGCTTTGCGGAGAGAGCCCGAATCGAAGACTGAAGAGATACTCAGATACTACGGCTTTTGTCTAGGTGCTACAAAGACAGGGTACGGTTTGTGTTGCTGGATCCACTGATCAATCAACTTACCTCACAGCGACACCCTAACCAGACCGTTTCAACTCCGAACTTGGTTTCAAAACCATCCCGGAACCAAAAAGCCCTCGACCCAAGACCCCAAAGGCTTGTAAAGCTCTGGCAAAACCAAATGGAGTTAAGAGGCCTCAAGTCCGAAATCCTCTCCCCACCTCCATCGCATGCTGAGGATGTGGGGAGGTTGCCTCGGAGCAACGGCGCTGAAGGAGGAGACCCCGATGACGTTTGACCTTTGGTTTATGGCTTATCGTCTTGAGGGTTTCTGTTACGACTGAGAAAGTCTTTCCACGATTTCTGGAGCGTAGCACTTAGGACTTAGGACATCTCATCTTCAATTTCCCGGGGTTGAGGCTTTGGGCCTTCGACAAAAGCCCGGCAGTTAAAGGATGTAGCGGTTTTAGCCTCTCAGGGGTTGCCTGACTTTGTTCCTACATGAAACAGGTCAAGTCCTGACGCTCCATGTTCGGTCGCTGGGTTTCGAGTTGATTAAAGCCGGTTTCGGGCTTCGGGTTCGTGGTCGCTGAGTTCAAGTCCCATTTGGACGGAAGAGGAAGCAAGTCTTCGGGAGAAAGGATAGCAATATCAGCTAATTGTTAGTCTTAGTTACGAGGACGGGGAAGGTCATAAGGATCCGCGGAAGACCAAAGGATCCAAAGGGTGGTCGGGAGCAGCTAGCACATCGCACCTGTGCTGTCGCCCGACACTGATAGTAGCCTCGCAGGCGAGTGCTGCAGTTGCAGTCGGGTACAGCCTGCACCGCACAACCCCAGTGAGAGGAGGGCGAGCGGGCGTTTGCCATTCGGCAACGCATGTTCATTCGGCAACGCATGTTCTCCTGTGAGGAGCCGCATGGGTTCTACTTCGAGGTCCGTATTGACGCCGTGACCACAGGCAGCTCCCAGGGACCCAGGGATGCGGACATGCTCGCATGCAGAGTGTGATTTGAAACTGTTGTTTTTTCCTACCAAGCTGACATATGAAGCTTCTGATGGGTGGATGCCTGCTGGCACGTAGACCGGAGACACCTCGTTCTTAAATCTTGGATTGAAATCTTGGATTGCGAACGTCACGAGGTAGTCATACTCACATCTGGGCTGCAGCAGCCGGAGCTGTCCAGGGCATCTCTGCTGTTTTCCGCTTTATCTGCCTTGGACCCGGATACAAAGCAAGCGTTCTTTCTCCTTGATACTCGTGCTCTTGCCAACAGTAGAACAAGGGGCCCGTCCCGGGACGCGGCCATCATGTTTTACATGCCCAAACAGTTTGGGGCACAGGCCTGCAGCAAAGTAATTCCTGCAGACAAAGTGGTCTCGTCGTCGTCGAGGCGCTATGATGATTTACAGTACGACATCGACGATATGCTCTGTTTTGCCGCAGTCTTTCCGCAAGCTTTTAAGGGGTTTGCCACAACCTCATTCTTTCAATACGACTGTTGAGCGATGGCTAACCCCAACAGGCATGCCAGATGGCCTGGCCATCGGCGTGACCACGGATGCCCCAGATGAGCTTCGCGAGGTGTCCTGGGCCCTTCCTGGCAGCTGAGTCCTGTACCAGTACCTTCCCCTTTGTGTGATTGCAATTCCAGCACATCTTAAGCCCGTAGGCTTCGGCTTTCTGCATAAGCTCAAGTCGGGCAAAGTCTTGCAATAAAGCTTGACGGAGGAATCACCTGGAAGGCTAGGGCTAGGTGTATCGGCCGCTTAAAGCCAACTGCGATTTGCGAAAGAGTTGGGTCTTGCGGCAGGTGCCCGAGATACTTGACGCGCTGAAGCAGGTCGGCATCATGCGATGTGAGTTTCTCCTGATAATTTTCAGAGCTTGAGGCAAGAATTTCCGGGAACCAGGGAGTAAGTAACACTCAAAAGCCCGCGAGTCAGCTTGAAAGGCTAAGGCTGAAGCGTGGCATCAGCCCACAGGCATCCTGATGTGAGCTCCTATTGTCAGGCCCTTCTGCTAGAGCCTGTAGCGTTGTCATCTTGCCGCTTCTCCTGTCCGTATCCGGTTTCTCGCCCTATAACCTATGTATATAGAGCGTAGAATGTGTATATACACTCATGCGAGATAGATAGATGCAGACAATCATCCATACATACATACATGCATGCATCTACACTACACACATACAGATAGACATATACACATACACACATGCACACATACACATACACCTACACATATGCATACGTATACACATACACGTACACATACACATACACATACGCACACACACACACACACACCCATACGCATACGCATACGCATGCACACATGTATGTGTATGTATGCGTATAGATACACACAAACACACGCATGAGTTACACACAAAAGTGCACAGCCGCCCTTTTCTTTCCATTTTATATGCAAACTTACAGCTGTTAATGTTAACCGCCAAGCCACTCAGCATGGCCCCGGTGCCAGACAATCCATGTAAAAGACTAAGGATGGGTTTCGGCCAAGGGCTCAACCCGAAGCCTGAAAACCCCAGGCTCAAGCACACCAAGCTCTGAAGCTTCGATCAGGTTTGGCTCATTGGTTTCGACGGCGTCATGTACGACGGAGATGACTTCATTGAGCCTTCACCTTCTAGTGCGACTATCTCACAGCGCACATGCATAATTTCATGCATGCATGCGTGTGATCAGCAGTTCTATGCTGTTGTACTCGCACACGGTGAGTCAGACGCAGAGATAGAGAGAGAGAGAGAGAGAGAGAGAGAGAGAGACCATACACAACTGATATCGGGTCGACCCAAGACCTCCTGCTCCTACTAGTAGCACGGAAGCGGGAGAATGAGAGGGAGGGGATGTAGCGAGGGATTCCGCTTAGGTCACCCGGCCCTGCAAGCAGCAATTTTCGCATGGGTCAGCACAAGGAGCGAGTACCTGAGCCCATAAAATCCAGCCGAAACCCGGATTCGTGATGAAAGCATGCTTTTGTTGGACATTCTCTCGACCGGGATGTAGTTAAAACCCAACCGGTCTGCAGGGCAGTACCGTTCAGCGTTCGCTCGGCCTTCCTCATTTCACGCAGCTGAGGATGTCGACTGGCACCCAGCAGATTTGCGGCTAGGCGTGACGTTTGACGGAATGAGCCGTCACTGTACACTGTATTAGTCTTACACCGTGCGATCTGGAGTCTTATGACTATTTACCTGAGGCCGCAGATCACAGAGAAACTCCATTGCCGAGACAAGACACGTTCCTCAAACCCTGCTGCTCCCAATCATATCATAAAACCTCAGCACCCTGCACCCAAGCCTTAGAAAACATTAGAGAGTGGACTTGGAGACTGCTGTGCGACTTGGCCACTCGCTCCCATGGTCCGCCCCAGCTTCAGGGAAGAGCAATGACTTTGCTTCCTTGATCACGAAGCCCGGTGCCAAACCGAAGTGAACCCCAGCTTCCAGACCCGCACTGAGGCCACCACCTGAATAAGCTTCGATCCCCAGGCTCACGAGAAAAAGTAAGGCAGCAAGCAGAAAGCACCTGCGGAGGCGACCGAGTTGGAGTGCTCGTCACCCCTGCGGGTCTGCTTAAGGCCGGCCTTGGGAGCCAACTGGAGATTGAGCGATGCTTGCTTTTAGAGCCTGGGTCCACGAAGTGCGTTTTGGATCCAAGCTCTGTACTTCAACCGTTTTGACTTCACTCAAGAGGGTGCCAGCGATTCTCTGTCTTGGGCTCTGGCGCTTTCAGGTTATGTAACGGTCACTAGGTGGTGCAACGCTACAACTACCAAACATGGATTGGACATGTCGGGGGGAGCGGGGGCTCGGATTTGAGATATCTGTACTCTCCAGCCAGAGCATATACCTGCAGGCTGAGCACTCGCTGAGCAGGACTCCTACGCATCCGAAACTTCCCTACGCCTCACACTCCAAAGCAATCATAGTTGTGCCGGGATGCCGGGCGCCAGCATAGGCCGCCAGGGTTTCAAATGGGCCGAGGTCTATGTCAATGGGAAGTGGCGCGTGGACGGCCCGTCCAATGTTGATGTGAGTGCGGGCCCGAATGCCATGCGAGGGGTTGCCGTTTTGCTTCTCTTCGTAATTATTTCCATTAGAAAATAAGTTATGATTTAGAACCATACTTCTCGAAAGTGGATCTTGCAAGGCAGATGTTCCAACTCTTCAGGATGTGAGATCGCAGAAACCCACCGAGGTCGGGCACTCTTCCCAGCAGTTGACCTTATCGGCAACACGGACGGTGTGGAGTGGATTCCACAGGCCGAAACTTCGGGTGGGCAGAGGCTTTGGGGATTTCAAGAGCTGGGCTACAGCGTGGGAAACCCGTAGCTAGTCTTGGGATTGGCTCGAATGGACGTCACACGGCTGATGGCCCCGTTCCGGCAACCCCCAGACCCTGACTAGCCATTGCTGTAACGGAAAGACCCTGACCCTAACCCTGGACTGACCTCAAAAGGCTTAAAGGCCCTAAACGCATAATTCCAAATACCCTTCCAGTTCCTTTCATTACTAAAGCAAAGCCCGAGTCTATCTACTGAGGCCCCTTGAAACTCTCCTTTAAAAGGAGCCCTTCATGGAGCCCTTCTTGGGTCGATGTACAAAGGCCCGAGGCCCCCCTTTGTCTTTCGGAGGCCCGCTGTCCGGCCCACCGGCCATCGGCCATGTCGCTCCCTGGCTCAGGTTTAGGGCTTGTTGGCTTTTAGGATATTAGAGGGGGCTTTGAGGGTATTAAAGGGGGCTTTTAGGGTTTGGGGTTTAGGTCTTTTGTTTGTTTGGGGTTGAAGGATGTCTAATTTGGTTTAGGGCTTGTCTAGGGCTCGGGGTTTAGGGCGATGGGACTTGGGACTTCAGGGTTTAGGGCTTGGGGACTGTTTTGTGGGCTTGCGGTTTGGAGGGTTGTTGGGCATCAAGCGGGTTTAGGGTTCCAGGGTGCAGGCTTCGGCATTTCGGGTTTCGTCTCACAAGTTTTTTCGGGTTTAGGACTTAAGGCTCGAAGGCGCTTAGCAAAACGTAGGTCCCAGGATCTAGCACATTTATGTCCAGTTTTGGGCATAGGGTTTGCGGGTTCGCCCGGCCCCCTTGACGTGTAAAGCGGGAGGCGCCTCCAGGCAAATGCCCCAAGCTTCGGAGCAGTCCCTCTAGACTCTAGATGTCTTGTGTTGCTTGTTTTAATTATATACTGGCTTCATGAACAAAGAAACCCGCGGTCGAGAGATGTTCGCACGTGCTTGTTGGTTTTGTCTCTTCGCTGATTTCGGCTTGAGGGACTGGGGTGTTTTGTGCGAGGATGCAGACCCCAAATCAAAGGCCCCAAGCCAAACCCCCGAAGCCCCCAACAGATGTCTCGGCACAAAGCAGTGTGATCCCGCTTTGGTTTCTCCCACCTAAATCCCAGAAGCTGAACTCTGAACGTTGCTCCTACCCCAAAAAAACACGGTACAGCCCTCTCAAGAGCCAGAACCCTGGAACCCGAACCCACTGAGGCGTCCCGAGCGAGGCTTCCACCGTGGCTCTTTGGGAGCCCCGGCTTCATTGTGGCGACACGGTTGTAACGTGTAGACGCCGAGATGGTTTTGGCGGCTCTCGCATAGGTTCGTGGTTTCGTCCAAGTGCAGGATGACAAGTTCTGGAGTTTCAAAATATGGGTCTTCGAGTCTGGGAGCTTGCCAAGCTCCAGGGTTTTGCTCCGCTTCGGAGCCCTCTAACTCAAGCTGTGCAATCCCTGGACTGCATGACCACATTGCATTTGATACAGTATACCTTCGATGCTATACCCGAAATTTTAACTCGCAACGTCCAGTCCTAAACCCTAGACCCAATAAGGGTCGGGAGAGTTTACATCGCTCTGCCACAGCTTGTGAGGAAGAGCCCTTCGTTTGTCTGCCGACGGCTGGTCCGTGGAGCATCAGAGACTTGTCTTTCCATGTAATAGCCGGTGGCCGCAGACCTGACCTCTCCCTGATTCGACACGTACCTTCGGCTTCGAGGCTTAGGGCCTTCTTTCCTGCAGCGGATCGTTGGTACCGCGTTTGACCGTACGCTACTCCCCTTTACAGCAAGAGAAGAACGAAAGGAGCCATCCCTGTCTCCGAAATCCAAGCATTATCAACACTCCCTGTGCAAGGAGTGGCGAGTCACTCCATGGTTGCCTGCTAGCAACTGGGGGATTCGGCACTGCGTCAGAGCAGGTATAGGAGAGTACGTATTCTTTGCGTGCAGTTTTAGTTCTGTTTGCCTCCCGGTGTTGAGCTTAAAGATTCCCTTGTTTCTCTAGTGACTCTAGCGTTTGCCACGAGGTTTCGGCTTCGGTGCTTTGGAGGTTTGGCTTAGAAACGACGAGTGGCAGTGGCACGGGCTAGGCCATCTAAGACAGACTGCTCTGAAGCTGTGTCTTGCTCAATGCTTTGTGGGCATTTCTTGGGTATCTTTCTTGGCAACAGAGGCCACAGGCATGACAACTCAGGAACTTCGGGTTTTCATTTCGGAGCCTGAGGTCCGTTTGGCTCTCGGTTTCTGGGTATCCAGACCTGCAGCCGCGGCTTCATACAATTGAATCCGGATTACATCCTACAACCCTACAAACTCTGCAGTCCCGCTCATGTCCAGCTTGGCTTAGCAATACTATATTGTCAGTCTTCCGTTGTTATCATTGGTCATTGCCAGTATCGTCATCGTCCAGGTCGTTTCTCCTTCTCTTGTTCTAAACTCAAGCTGCCCCAGAGCAGGCACCGCCTTGGGAGCTGCATACACGGAGCTTGTGGAGGGAGTTGGGCGCTACTTCGAGGTCGGAACTGGGGATTCCTGGGTCGGGCTCTGCTCTAGCACTGGGTCACTAGGCAAGGGTCTTGAACTTGGGGTCTGGGGGATTGCCTTTCGAGGTTTCAGTGGAACTACTGTAAGGGGTCTCCCGAGTCGGGGATCTCTCTCCTTCTTGCTTCTTTACTTGCAGAAATTATGTGACAAAGCCCTAATCATTACGAGGGGAGATGAAAACAAGCGTTAATATGAGACTGCGTCACGGTATTCAGGAGATTGCTTCCGTACCCTTTCGGTTCGGATTTTTGATTGGCTTATCGCATTTTTTCGATGTTCTTGCTTACAGCCCCGCTGGGTGAGGGTGAGCTGCGGTGCGCCTGCCTGACTTGGCCTTGTATAGATTGTAAGGCTTTCATGGTTTCGGTGACGTAAGTAAAGGCTTCGGGCGAGTTCGCAGTTCTTGCCCTTTAAGTTTCAAGTGCTGTGGGCTGACTGATTTCATTGGCTGTGTCGTTTGAGTTGCCAACGAGGCTTGGGGCTTCTGCATGGACGTTTTTCAGGTCCGACGCTGTGGGGATAACTCTCCCACACGTCACCTCTGCCTGTCGCCCACATGCTGAAGCAAAACAGGGAAGCTCCGGACCCCCAGAGTTTTTGCAGTGATGCGTGTGATCTTCCGATTTCAGAACATACTTCCGTGAGACATACGCGGACTTTCCGGTCGAACTTTGAGAGAACAATCGAAGAATCAAGAAAGAGCATCCCAAAGCCCCAGCTTTGCAAGGGGATCGTAGCACAGAGGAGTCTACCACCCGATGCACGGATTCTGGGTGTAGCTGGCCCGTCAGGTGCACATCGACGAGGCGCGTCGGTTGATGTCTCCGGGTTGCGGCTAAAGGTTTCCAACTGGAAATTGGGAGATTCGCGCCGGGCTTCGAAATGTTTGTCAAAAAATGTGAGTCAATGTAACAGCACAGTCATTCTCTCTCTCTCTCTCTCTGTCTCTCTCTTTCTCTCTCTATCTTTAAATCTCGAAGTAAATATACAGACACACACACACATACATATATATGTATACATACATATGTATATATGTATACATACATACATATATACATATGTATCATATCCGTATACACATGTAAACACACATGTGTATATATATATATATATATGCATATGTGCATATATACATATGTACAACCCAAGAAGATAGTTCAATGAATTGTCAAATATGTCTGTACATATGTATGTGTATACGTATACACAGATACAGACAGACATATTGACACATACGCAAGAACATGTGTATCTATACCACGTTGACAGATAAACGCGCAAAGGTATACCCACAGATATGTACACAACCACAAGCACGGGCTCAACTGCTCAGCACTCAAACACTCACACACAGTTTACAGACAAATAAACAAACAAGCCTACACATACATACATACATCCATACATACTTTCACTTTCACTTTCGGCGTTGCAGAAGATCCGGCTTCAGCGAACGAAAATGCAGACAAGCTTCAAGCCCGGCGCTCTGTTGGCGCTGTGCATCGCACATCTGTGTTGAACCCTCCCAAGGAGAGGAGGTTTTCGGCACTAGTGCCCTAAAGCAAAACCTCGTTGTGGCTCGCCAGCTTCGTGTAGAAAAGCATGTAGATATCTTGAAAGTGACTCGCAACAGTATCATACGAGGTCCGATAAGCCGGCATATCATCATCAGCAATCCAATACTCGCAATTATCAACACCATCAAACAAGATAACAGTATAATGGCCACATTGGAGAGAGGAGCCCTTGTGTACCAGTGCTGCACGGAGGTGATAGACAGTATCGTAGGTTTCAACACCATCCTCAAAGCAAGGCAGCTTGATACACGATTCAGGGACAATAGCGAAACGACGCTTCACACTACGACCCTCAGCAGCCTGGTACCTAAATCTCCCCACTTGTATGGCGAGCACTGCTGGCAGGACTGTGGCCGCATGTGCGTAATCCTGATTTCGCCATTCATTGATAAGTTCTTGCACACTCGTACTGTACAGATGGTCCGAACTCACTCTTTCGGGAGGCTGGATGAGGATTGGCGCAGACTCACCCCCGTCCACTATCATTGGCTCACCAGCTCGAGATGAGCGAGCTTGCCAGTACAGCAGCATTTGGTCCGCAGTAAACCTCTGTTCCCGCAGAAAGTGTGCCAGGAATTCTGCACAATCATGTTGGCGTGCAGGTTCCCGCCATTCGCTCATTATAGCCATCCAAAATGGTTGGCTCCACAGGTGTGTGGTCCCCTGCTGCTCAAGCACTCCCCGGATGAACTTGAGCATGGCCCCATCAAACATCGTCTCAAGACCGCCCCTGAAAGCAGCAACATACATCAAGCACTTCAATGCCGCATTGGAGTAGCAGTAGTTGCCCCGGTTCCCCAGCTGTAGTGCCCTTATTTCGTGAGGGCTGCCAGCTTTTGTCCCAATGCACTCCTGTGCATGGTCTCCGCCCGGAGGAACGTACCTGCCGCTACCCAGCATGCCGAGCGCTCCAGTTGATGAAGTCGTCGCCAGACTGCCTGTGCAGCCTCCACCCGATTGCCAATCTCGAGCATCATCGTCAATGTCGGTGACTGGTAGTCCGAGGCCAGTTTCCTTGTCGCGTGGTATCTTGATACCACCAAGTCCTGGGGGCATTTGACTAGGATCTCCGCCAAGGCCGCTTGGACTTCCTCTGTTGCCAGGGGCTTGACCGTGGTGTCCTTGGTGTGGGTTCGATTCTCCGCGTCCCATTTGACTCCGTTGATCTGGGTGCCCTCGTCGTTCATCCAGCCCAAGGACGCCGCCGTTGATCTTGCCGAAGGGGTAGACACCATCTTGTCGACCTTCTCGATCACCGTCTTGATAAAGTGCTGGAAGAGTAGCACCCTCATCGGAGACGACAGCTTCTCCGGTTCCTTGGCCTTCATGGCATGCCACTTCTGCGCCAGCGTGTAAGTGGATTTCGCCACGCTGTCTGCCATATGGGTCTGCATGAAAACCACGAAGGCAGTGTCTTGCCTTTGTATCAAGATCTGGGCTTCCTGCCGAAGGATCATGTTCGCCATCATGTTGATCATGGCCTTGCACTCCTCCGGCATCTCTTCGCCACTCCATGGGTCGTGGTGGGGGTAGGGTTGCCTCTTGCTCTTGCCCTTGCCTTTGCCCTTGTTCTTGCCCTTCTGAGCGTGGTTCTCCCATTGTCCCCGCCACTGGCTTGGCCAAGAGCTTTGGTTTGCCAGGAGTTGTCGTAGGTCTCCTGATCCCTCGCTCGCTTTTCCGGTCCTCCTTTGCCTCGGCCTTCGCTGCCCTTGTTGCCGTCCTTGTGGTACTTGGGCTGAGGCTCGCCAAACCAGGAATCCTGAGCTCTTTCCAAGGGCTCCTCCACCGTCCCGGGGTTCACTGTCCTGCTGGGCTGATTGGTCACCTCCGGGGGCGCAAGAGCTCGAAGCAGCTCCAGTTCCTTGGTCGCCTCCGTCATTTGCCTCGCAGGCTCGGCCTCCACTTCCATGGTCATCACCTTTGATGATGAGGTCTTGTAGAGGGCGTCCTCTGGCTATCCTAAGGTGAATGTATACCCCACTGAAGATGCCGATGCATGCCTTAAGATGCGCAGATTTTCGTTGATAGACGAGGCCGCAGTACTGACAAGGATTGGTGATGCTCAAGTCGCTCTGTACAATGAGTTCCTCACTGCGTTCGATCAGGGCCCTTTGAGCAGGATGCTTGAGGAGCATGTGTCGCTTGACATACTGATGTTTAACCGTCCACAAGTTGCACTCTGGGCAATGCTGGTGCTTGTTGCGAACATTGGGGTGCAAGGCCAAATCCCTCCACGAGCAATTGCCTGCAAGTTTTATGATCTCGGGATTCTCAATGATAGCCTCGCTCTCCACAGGTGCATGCGTAGCGGTGGAGCCAGCTTCAAACAGAGCTTGGAGAGCAGGGCAACTCCTAGCATTGATGTGATAGAAGAATGCTGGCCAGGTCGTGAATGCATGATTGCAGTGTCTACAGAGTGGCATACCGTCCTTGGCATGTGACATAGCCTCCCCTCGTAAGACACGACGGTTTTCAGTCACAGTTTGGAGTTGGGTTTCCTCATCCATATGTTGTCGAAACACATGTCTTTTGAGGGCAGCCTGCGTGCCATAGGCCAGTCCGCATACATCACAACTGTGCTGTTCAGGAAGAATGTCTTGTACAAGCTGTAGGTGATTACCAGAGCTCTGCATGGTCGTACCTACATTGCCACAGGCTTCCCTGGCATCCAAAATCTGGCCCCTCACGAAGGCACGCCATTGTAGCTGCGCGTCACCTGGGCGAAGGAGCACCGGGCACTGTGGGTCCGCCTGAGCCCTTCGGTCTAGGGCCTGGAGTAAACGACGAAGGGGGTCCGGCAGTCGTAGCCGACGGGCGAAGTCCTGGTGGGATTCATGAGTGAACATACTGAACGAGTTGGCGATCGCTCTGGCTTGTTTGAAGTACATAACCATCATCTGCGAGGCCTCATGTGGTGGGAGCCCGGTGCAGTCCAGTCCATGTAGCAAGGTTGGTAAGATCGTACCCTGCCAGAGAAGAAGGCGGAGTTTGATCGACACATCACGGCACTTGAGGATCACAGCCAGCCTTGAGTAAGCCCCTTTGGCCAGGTCCATCCGGTGTTTGGCTGTCTCTTGGTCGTGCTTCTTGAAGCTGATGATCATACCTAGGTATGTGTGTTTGGCGACCACTTTGACGTATTCCGTCGTGCCATGAATGGTGAACTTGAGGAACTTGCCCTTCCATTGCGGTCTTTCCACCAGGTATCTGGAGAGGCAGGCCGCTGCACCAGGGCCTTGGAGTTCAATGAGGGCAACCGTCTTTTCAATGCTGACAAGTACCCCGCGGTCCCTAAGGCCTTTGAGCACATGCTTCATGGAGTTGTACGCGTCCTCCATGTCACGTCCTGTGCGTATGGTCCAGCCAAAATGAAAGTCATCTGCGTACGTTGTATTACTGGCTGTGATGTCTAGCAGCGGCGGTTTATGGAGTCGTCTGAGCAGCCAGCTTGAGTAGATCGTCCACAAAATGGGTGCCAATCCACATCCTTGTCGCAAGCCACGGCCCATAGACAGAAGGGCCTGGCAATCGCCGTGTTCCACTCGGACCTGGGCCTGCTGATGGATGAGCAGGATCAGTTCGATGAGACACTCCGGTACTTCTGCCTCCCGTAGTGCAAGGACTAGGTCGCTCCACGGCACCCTGTCATACGCTTTAGATATATCAAGCGAGAGGTGCACTCCCCCACACACCTGTGCCGCACGTCTCCCAGCTCGTCTGGCGTGGAGGTTGGTCGCCTGGTCTCCCAGCAGCTTTCTCACCACTGCACAGTGGCTGGCCACGCGCTCAAGCGCCATGCTAAGAGACCTGCCCCCGACATACGCAAACTGAGGCACAGCCTGAAGGTAGTTCACCGCGTAGGGCTGCAGTCTGGCCGCAATCATCGCTCCCAAGACTTTGGCCTGTAGCGAGAGCAGGTTGATTGGTCGCAGTTGGTCCGGAGAGCACAGACTCTTGCCCGGTTTCGGGAGAAGGATGAGCTCAGATACATTAAAGCTGGCCGGCAGTGTGCTGGTGCCTTTGGTCAGGTAGTGGTTGATCTGTTGCTGCAGGGCTGGCACGACCTGAACCATCGCAGTTTTCCACAATACCGCATGAGCACTTGTGGTGGGCATGGCCTTCCCCGCCGCAAGGCGTCCAAGAGCCCGCTTGACCTCCTCTTCCGTGAAGGATATGTCCTCCGGTAGCATTATGACCGTGCATGGCGGACCCGAAAAGAGAGACATGAAGTAGTCCCTGATCTGCTTGAATTCTGCCTCCCGAGACTGAATGCGGCCCTCCTCGGATCGAAGTTGTAGTCGTCGTCTCGCCTGTTTGGGGGCAAATTTCTTCGCAGCTTGATGGATATTGTCTGCTTGCACGGCCTCCAGGATTCGTAGGGTCTTCCTTCTCCTGCATTCTTTGCGAAGTTTGCGAGTGACTGCCTGGAGTCTTGCCGTAGTCACCCACGCCTTCCACAGAGTGCCAAGTGGAGGGGCTTCCTCCGGATCCCTAGGGTGACCTGTCAGGGCCCGTAGCTCAGCTCTAATCCGCCACATTGAGGTGATCGCGTCACGGACTATCAGCTGCTGAGTCTGTGTCGCTGAGTCCAGGCCATCCTCTTTCGAGGGGCCATATCCAGGCTGTTGGGCCTGGGCCCATCCTTGTTGCAGGATCCGGTCGAGGTTGTCTGTGGGTGCACACATCTCCAAGGCTGGGGCCACAAGCTGAAGGTAGTTGTCCTTTTTCTGGATGTCGGCCATCTCTTTCTGGACCTGCGCGGGTCTTTGTCGGATGTGGGTGTCCTTGGGCTTGGTGGGCAGCCTGGGCATGGGGATCGACGCATGGATCGGTCGATGTCGACAGCCGCTGCAGGGCTCGAACGGTGCCGAGACAGGGCAGGCTCTCTTGGCTACAGCATCAGCCAGGTCATCTCTGGCGATCACAAAATCGATCTGTGTGCCAGTCTGAGCACCCTGCTCCCCCGGAGGGATATAGGTGCGTTGCATCAATCCTGTGCCCGTCCAAGTGTTCAGCAGGCAGCAGCGATGGAGTCGGAGCAGGTCCTGGAACGCTTCCTGGTCCTTCTGTTGGACCTGTTGTGTCACCACTCCTGGCCCACATATGTCGGGTTCTTCGACGGCCGGAGTGTTCCAGCCGTGCCTTTTCGGCACAGATCCATACATACATACATCCATGCATACATGCATACATACATACACGCACACACACACACACACACACACACACGCACACAGACATACATACATACATACATAATTCTCTATCTACCTATCTATCTATAAATCTATACACACATACACATCATACACACGTGTATACATGCACATATGCATGTGTTTGTGTTTGCATATGTCTAATACACTGACATCCAAAAATACACACCGCGTCGGGTGTCATGCACATCATCATAGCAGACTCAGCCTCGGTGTGAACATCTATCCACAGCGAAGCTCGTAAGCTGCTGAGGTCTTTAGCTCCTGAAACCGTTTAAGCCAGACTTGACGCAACGGAAACCCAAACCCTGTGGCCTTGAGCCGCCCGAGCTCTGTGCGCCTGCGCCTGCCTGAACAGCATCCGCGCAACTCAAGCACAATATACCATTGCCAGAGTTCAGGGGTTGATGGATGCCAGAACTCCCCCAACACGTCCACAGAATCGTGATTTCAGGTCCTTGCGGATCAGCCCGACGGGATGGCCCTGGGCTTCACGAGTCACAGGCCCTGCTCCAAGGAAAGCTTCGAGCGGCTGACAGCTTGTTGTCTTTAACTTACAAGGATGTTGTTTCAAGTTAGCAGACTCCCTTCGCGACGATGCAAGCTCCTCGGACAAGACACTTCCGTCGCATTACAGCGATTTTGGCTGAGGTTTTTGGTGGCTCCACCTGATCTACTCGGTTGCCATGGCACATTTTGCTCACATAGTACTGGGCCTTTTCAGTCTCGGGGCTGCGCAGGGGAGACTGGACTCCGAGCCTACGCCACGCCGGCTGCGAGGGCAAAAGGAGCAAGTCTTCAACCAAGGAGGCGACGCAGGATGGTCCTTTTGGAACCCAAATCCTGAGGTCCTGGTCTGGGATGAGCAGGTATCCATAGAGGACGGACTTCAGAGCTACTTCGGCTGGCTGAAGACACCCCTGGTGCACGACATGGCGTTGTTGCCTTATGAACAGGTGCCCTATGTCTGCTTGCGTGTCCGTGCAATTCCGGCAACAGAGCAGCCTGCCAAGAACGGTCCCTTGCTTTTCCACTGTGGCGGACCAGGTTCTGGCAACAGCTGCGCTGCATCTATGAGTCGCGACTGGGACATCAACGGAGAGGCGAACCAGAGCCGACTCCACAAAGACTTCGACTGGTGGGCCGTGGACCAGCGCGGCGTGGTCACCGAAGAACGTAGCATGAACATCACTACACCGCCGTGTCCTTTCAAATACAGCACGGGGGAACCGATCCTTCCCTTTCCTCGGTTGAAATGCAGTGAGATCGCGAGCTCGCTCCTTGGTGTCGACGATATCGTCCGCCTGACGGTGGGTGCCAATGTGTCCGAGAGCGTTTCGCGTGAGGCCACGCCGTACGTGCAGTCGATTCTCCTGTTCCGGCAAATGCAGGCGACAGCATCGGGGATCCAGCACTTCAACGAGACTTTTGTGCGCTGGTATTACCGGTTGCTCAAGCTGGAACACAGCCTTTGCTACAATGCTCCCCGATTCAAGCTCCAGTCGCCAAGCGGTCGGGAGTACAACACGCTGCAATTTGGCGGTACAATGGATCTGGCCCAGGACATTGACCAGTTTCGTCGTGCCGTTGGGGCATCTCACATGTCGATCTACGGGGGATCCTACGGTACTGCAGTTGCCGGGGTTTATGGTACGATCTTCGCGAAGCACACGAAGCATCTGGTCTTGGACGGTGTCTTGGATCCCTTCCCAGATGTGGAGGAAAGAGGGGCGTTGTTCGTCAAGGCCATCACGGCTACTTGGAACGGCATGACACGGGCCTGTGACCAATCTGCAGTTGATAGCATCGCAGAGGAAGAGCATTGCCCTGCTGCGCCGTTGTCAGAGACCAAGGCTCTAAGTCTGATCCAAGATTCGAGCAATCCATCTCGGGCAGCTTTGATTTTTCAACTTCTGGCACAGCTTTTCCTCAGACCAGTGGGTCTGGGAGATCCAGACATGATCGCCAGCGTTATCTTTTCCTGTGTGGAGAAGCATTCAGCCGGGCGCGACGATGGGGGCTGCCCAGACTGGCTACAGAGCCTCGTGCCTGACGACGATTTTGCCGACTCAGGCTACTCCGACTCCGACTGGCTGGACCAGTTGGTCGCCGCAAAAAAGAGATTTGCTGACACGGACTGGTTCGGTTGGAGTATCCAAGCACTGGCTGTTGGCACGGACACCGCCGGTAGACTGAATGAAGAGGCCTTCATTCGCTGGTGGCGGATGTCCATGTCAACGCAGCCTTTCGGCACCCCGTTGATGTTCGGTTGGGTCGTGGCCATCAGCACTTGGCCAGCAACCGCAAGACCGGTGCCGCCCTTAGGAGATGCCAGCATCAGCCCCGTGATTATAGGGAATTTGCACGATCCGCGAACTGCATACACAAGTGCCCAGCTCGCGCGACGCGCTTTTCCGCAAAGCCATCTCGTCACTTGGCAGGGCATTGGCCATTGCCTCATGCCCGAGGGTCCGGTGGGCAAGGGTCTTCTGGCCGACTACGAGCAGGCCACGAAGGAGCACCACCTCATGAACTACACAGAGCAAATGGCCAAATATGCCTGCGTCTCACGGATCCAGCGCTTCATCGACACCGGGGACCTCCCCCTCGATGGTCACACCTGCATTGTGCCGCGGCTTCTTGACACGAGTAGGGCACGCCTGAGGCGGGGCCTCGCATTCCTAAAAGCTTCCTTGAACTTCTTGAACCGTTCGGAAGAGGATTAACCCGCTCCAGCAATCGAAAGAAGCAGCAGACCGCAACTTTGTGCGCCTGAAGAGGCGCACTGGTACTGAGATGCCAATTTGTACAGCTGCTGCACCTTTTGAGTCATGTGCCAGGTTCCGTGGAGGCAAGCTCTGCATCATGTTGCGGCAGTGCCACAACTGTACAGCTACCCGGCAGCGGGCAGCGGCATGGCAGCAGCGAGCGAGTCAGAAAAGGCTGGGCCCGGCGGCTCGGGACGGCAGAGGGGCAGATGGGCCAGCAGATTCTACACTCAAAGAGCCATGAAAGGCCTCAAAGTTGCTTGAAGGCGCCTGCAAATCCAGAAGTGAGAGTAAGAGAAGCCCGCTTGTGCAGGGATGCCTTTTGGAAAGAGTTGAACCCAACGTCCGCGTTGGGCAACAAGGCACTCGCAACCTCAGGCGGTTTCCTTGCGGTGCCGCGCAAAGCCCCCAATTCCTGTAGCTTTCAATTCCTTCACCTACATTTGTGCAGCTGATCCCCAATTTATCCAATGATTTATCCAACCTGAAGAGCAGAATTCGATCAACTCCAGGCACGAATGCAAACCCTGAGCCAAATCCGAAAAAGTGCCTGCAGCTACCGCTTCGAGGCCTGAAGAGGTCGTCGAGCCTCCCGCGACCTCCGCGCCTGGGCTGCCGTGCGTTAGAATGCTGTAGTACTCATAGATGGGATAGCAACATGGTGCAGAATGTTAGCCGCATAGTAGTCCAGTATAACAGCAGTATATAGGTGTAGCAATAGAGTATCCCACGCTTCAGGTAGTAAAGTTGTCACCTGGAAATCTTGTGTGGCCCCTTTTGAAGTCTCTACACACGGACTCCATTCTTGGAGTTCAGTTGAAGGCTTCTTTGGCTTTGTCTTTGCAACACTCCACCACGGTCCCTGTTCATGCTTCTACTCGTTGCTTATTCCGACAGGCCCTTTGATCGCACAGTCGTGGCTATGGCGGTTTGTGTGTGTGTGTGTGGCAAGTTCGTTTAAGTGGTAAAGAAGAACCTCGATTTTTTTTGCGTGCTATAGCCTTTTAGCGTGTCTTATTTAACAACAGCCCTGTAACAACAAAAATGTATATTCTCTCTTTTGACCAAGTCTGTGTGCGTGGGCCATCTCTTTGCCGCTGCGCATGGAGCGTCCGATTCTGATGGGACCTTGTAGCTCCAGCATTTGGTTACATTTTTTCACGAATGAGACGACAAAATAGCTCCTTTGTTGTACTTGATTTTCGTTCATACATGAAAGAAGACGAATGCACAAGCACTTTTTTGAGTCCCAACTCCAATAGCTGTTCCTGGTTCCTTGCCTCATAACACATGTGTCTGGAAGTGAAAGTTTCACTTGCATATGAGGGCGTATAAGAAGGCTCCTCAGCAGCAATAAGTAAGAGAGCTCTTTCAACTTTCCAAACATGAAGCAGGACTAAATACGGCTGGCTGTCTTTATACGTATCAACCAGAATGCGCGGAACCTTATCCTTATAGAACAAATGAGATGGAACTTTATGGAATTGTGACAGAACCTATGACAGCTATTGGAGAAACAGCCATATGCATCGCAAACGTTAATTGCTTTCGAAGGCCATCCACATACTCATCAAGTAAAGGTAATGCAAACTTTGCTGTTCCACGAACAAACAAAAGATGGCACCTGTATTCTTTGACGACTGAAGAGAGCTCCTTTTCATGTTGTGATGCGAATTATTGCCGCGTCTAAACCACAGCCATAGACAGACGGACCGGTATTTGTTCTGTGAGGATATGAGCGAGGTGGCTTCAACAAAGACATTGATAAAAGTCTCTGGCGTCTTTCTCGTGTATAAAACTACCAATGCGCAATTTTTTGTCTGTTGATCAGAACTAGGGAGTGTCGCTTGAAGATTGAAGACGGCTTCTTTGTCCTTTGTGTTACGTTCTATTGCATCTATTGGAGAAACAGCCATGGACATAGCGATCTGTATCTTGTCGAGAGTATAAGACAGCATCAATAAAAGTTAAATGAATGAAACGTCCTGTTTCACAAGAGGGAACCTGCGAAGTCTCCATTGTCCTTTAATGGTAGCAAAATGCAAACAGGTTCCCGCAGTCTTCCGTATGACATGAAATAAGTTCTGAATAGGCTGGCACAGCTGAAACACTGAAGGGTATTCCTCATGACCGTGTTGGATCTGTAGGCTGTGCGGCTTGCCGAAGAGGGGCGTAAGCCATTTTCGAGAAACCTCAAGCACTAGAGCCAGTGCTGCAGGTGCCATAGACCCACCAGCGTCCTAAAACATACATGAAACAAAACCTGTAATCACGAAGGTGGGCTTTCTTCAAACTTATCAAACAACAGTAATGAAACCCCCTGGTGTTCTAGAAGACACATAGGATAACATTTCAAATCCTGGAAAGCTGGCGAGAAGTCCCTGTACTATGGTGATACGGTGTATCCTCTCCTGGAAATCAAAACACTGTAATGCTCAACAAATGCACAAATTCCCGAGCCTGAAACTTACGAAACACTGTAATGCTTAAAACATTCCAACAATTCCAAGATCCGCGAAATGTCCAATATTTTGAATTATGTATATGTATATACCTATATGTCTTCGTATATGTATATGTGTGTATGTATATGTACATGTACATGTATTTATGTTTTTGTCTATATATATATATATGTATTTGTTACGAGTTTGTTTATGGTTTTGTTCACGTACCTGAATACTTATAAGCGTATGCATATGTATATAAGTATCAAGATAGGTACAAAAATGGAGGTAGATGTACATATGGATATTGATATGGGTATGGGCATACGTATCGATACAGATACAAATATGGATATGGATATAGTTATTGATTTATAGTTATACATACGCAGACAGATAGCTTACACCTGGAGGATGCACTTCGCGATGCGTGGCTTGCGGGCTTCGACGGGGCCGTTTGGGATGGTGCGAAGACAGCACCTCGCCAGAGGTTTTCAAGAGCATTTGCAGTGGGCTTAGATGAAGGTTCGATTAAGGGGCGTGTGTTCGTGTAAATGCTTGTGGTTTCTGGCCAGTTTCAGAGCATCGGGATTATGCCTAAGGATCTAGGCTAGGGTCGATGTCCATCCACCATTACGAATGCTATCTGCTATCCATTATTTCTATTCATATTGGATGCCGTAGTAAGCTCGCACTATCGGCAAGTAAACACAAGAGCTCCAAGCCGTCGATGGCGAGCGGCTAGTGCTTCTGGCTTTAGGACCTAGGTTCTGATGGTGGCAGATTCGAACATGTAGTTGCCGGATGCAAAGTGGGTTTCTCTGTTCATTGAGCCAAGTTTGCATTCTTGAATTGGCAAATGCTCACTACCACTGCGAGCACCAACTGCGGAGCTCAGAATCATAGGCGCTGACATAGTCAGGGCAACGACTTTAGGCTCAGAGATATGCCACCTTCTCCCCACTGCAGGACATTACTGTGAGGTTCCAGAGTCAGCGGTGTTTGGGCTATCCGGGGTTCCAAGGCTGCTATCCCCCTCTTCCCAGATGGCCTGATTCCTCATACAGCACACAGCGCACAGGCAGCTGCTGGGCTGTTTCACCTTGGATCTCAGGAGTGGCTCCTCAGCAACTGGGACACCCGCAACCTCGCTGCCGGCGATGCAGTTGGTGCCTGGCAGAGGGATTCGTCACGGGTGAGTCGTAAGCTCGCAGTCTGGAAGGTGGGGTGTCTGGCGCTTGGGGTCCTGATCCGGGGACTCCTTGATTGAACCAGGGGTCCCAGTAAAGCCACGCAGCCCTTGAGCCACCGATCGGCCAGGTGCCTTGATCGATCCGCACGGGACGCTGCGCATCTTCGTCAACGGCAGCCAGGCGCGAAGAAGAGAAGTCGGCACTCGGGATCTTTTGTGCTTTTAGCATTCGGGGGGTGGGGCTGGGGCGTGCTACGTCGAGCCGGGGATGGATTAGGTATTTGCCAATGCAGAGTCGTTTTGGGAATCTCTGCGGGATGAAAGCAAGCATGATCTCGAGCACAGCTTTGAAACCTTATCCGTCGCAGTCCTAAGATCTGGGACAAGCATTTGACCCCACACCTGCCAGCGTACTAGCATCGAGGAATGCCTGAACCAGACGGCGAAGCCAGCCACCCTGCGCCCTGGAGCCCAAAGGCCCCCCAAAGTCAGCCATCAGCCATGAATGATAAGCTTTGTAAGCTTGGGGCTCCCTGCAGCGCCTTGTATGGGAAACCGTGCAAAGCTCTGTGGGCCGCTCCGTGGCCGTGGCAGGTGGTGCGAGGTCCGAAGCTGCCCCCGTCCATGTGTTCCCCCGAGGCGAGGGCCTGAGCCTGAGCGCACTTCAGTTGTTTTTACGGACGGCAGTGGGTTCTCATTTGGAGTGACCCGACTTGTTGCCAAGTAGCCGTGGCTTGCCGTGGAGGGGTTTGCCGCCCTGAGTATTGCATGGGACAGCAGCCTCCGCAATTTATGCAGAGTTTTGCCTGCGTGTTCTGGAATTGATGTCTCTGCACAGAAGACGTTGTGCCCCAAACCCCCAGAATACCATTCGACTTATCTACGTTCCTACACTGCGGTCCTCTTCGCAACGCCACTGAGTTCTTCAAAGAGCGGGGACAAGCCCTGTAGCTCGATTTCTCCCAAGCCCGTGCTCGCCAACACCCGAGCACCATCACGAAGGCCACAACCCATAGGTTCACACTAGCATGTTCATCCGAATATTTCTATGTCTTTATTATCCTAGGTAACTGAAGACATTTGTTGAGAGACATGTGCACATGTATGTGTCAAAGCATGTCTGTGCAGACGTCCAGGTGTGTATGTATGTACATACACATGCATGATCATGCATGCTTGATGAGGAGAAGTCAGTAGGTGTTCGAAGAGCATTCTTTGGTGTCAGGCACACCTTTACCCGGTGGTGGATCTTCTTGGTGCCGTGCGACGACTCTCCCTTCTGCCGAAGGCATCAAAGCACAAAATACAAACCCTGAGTGATTAATCGCTTATCGAAACGGCTCCTGTTGACTGGGATGTTGTTAACATATCAGAGAGTTCACATGGTCAAAAGCTGTTTGAGTTACTTGGAACTATGAGTTTGGCCTTTCAGAGCTAAGTGCCTGGGCCCTGCGTGAACCCGAAAGCCTCGACCTTTCGCGGCTCCGCGTTGCGGTTGGGAGCTTCGTGTTTTTTCTTTGGCATAGGGTGTCAAGGCAGGCTCGTTGAGGCTGAGAGAGGAGAGGCCTGTACCAATATGCGAAGTCTCAGATGCACCGTGCGAACCGTACGAGTATGATGCTCGCCATGACCAGCACTGAGAGATGATCCTCAAGGCTGAATTCTCGGGCTAATCGTAGTTCCCCCTGTGAGAAGCTGGTAGCCCTTAAGGCCAGCGCGTCGCGTTGGTAGGGGCAGCCTGACGAATGGCTGTACTCGCCAGTGCGGGTGGGCAGATTATAATGACCAGGTATAAGGTCATACACAGGTTATGAGCCCAAGTATCGGGCTGCTGCGAAGAAACACCGCTTGGTAGTGGGCTTGGTGGTTGTGGCCTAAGGCTGTGGGGGGTTACTTCATGTCGGCTGCTGAGGGCCTGGCTGGCACAGCAGGTGGTTTTTGCCAGGGCGGTCGGGGTCATGGGTGGCATCACAGCATGGCATTGCCAATGGTTGGGGGCAATGAGCGCCTAATGGAGAGGCCAGGTGGCGCAAACCTCTCAGCCATTGCTGGTGGTTGCTGGGCCTGGGGGAGTTACAGCAGGGAGCACTCCTTCGCATAAGCTGTGGAGCGGGGGGAGTGTGAGAAGCTGGTAGCCCTTAAGGCCAGCGCGTCGCGTTGGTAGGGGCAGCCTGACGAATGGCTGTACTCGCCAGTGCGGGTGGGCAGATTATAATGACCAGGTATAAGGTCATACACACCCCCAACCTTAAATCTCGAAACCTGAGAAGCCGTAGAGTAGCTTGCGCGACGAAAGCAACCCAGGTAGGTTTCCGTTTGGTGCATTCCTTTGTTTTGGGAGACCTAAGGCTTGTGGTGGTTTCTAAACGGTTCCTGCTTACCTCTATGTCGTCGGTGTGTGGTAGGAGGGCTACGAGGCACTTCAAGACTGGCAGCAAGCAAGACACACGTCAATGTTCAGGGTTTTCGAGCTAGGTTACGATTCCTCTGAAGTACAGTACTCTTTCCTTGCGTGGAGCTGAGAGAGGCGACCTCACCATCGTTGGCGCCGGAAGAGGCAAGATGAAAGGGGGATGGATTCAACACCTCGGTTCCGAAGTTATGGGACTCCACGAGGGCTTCTCATGAAGGGTCCATTCTAAGATTCTAGGGTAAGGAGTCCACGGACATACATCCTACTCTTGCGGTGAATAGCTGCCTCATCTGCAGAAGCTCCGATCTTCATGCCTTCATGGACTTCAGAGAGTTCTACTCAAGCCTTTGTGTTTCATGATCAACCCCCTTTGCAGCCCGCCAGGTGGCGGCGGAGAAGGAGGCCCCGGAGGGCTTCATGACAGGCTTCCACCTCGAGAAGGCGCACAGCCCGCAGCGCGTGCGTGTGCGCATTTTACTTCCCAGCTCAAGGCCTTGCGGTTGCAGGCCTTACGAACCCGATCTTGAGCGCCCAAACTCCAAACGATACCACCGAAACCCTGATGAAGTCCGAAACCGGTACTGTATACGCGATACCGGGTATGCTTGTGACGCAGAGAAGCTCATCAGGTTGGCCCTGCTTTGCTTCTCTCCGATGAGGGTCACGCCGCCGCACGCCGGCATGGCCATTCGCCGCTCCAAGGCCTCGGCTGTATAGTGGCCTCAATAAAGAACTTCAGATAGGGTTCTTAGATGTGTATATAAGGGTTCTACAAGGGCACAAGAGGGTGTTTCATTCCATGCCTCTTCTTGGTGCAGGCCAGAAGCTGCAGGCTGCAGGGCTTCGGGCTGTTTGTGGGCGGGAGTTGCTGGGTAGCGTGCGCTTGGGCTTGGGCTTGGGGTTCTGCAGGGTTGCAATTGCAAGAACTTCTGGCCTTGAGACAATCCACACTTCCTTGTTCAGGATTTTTTTAGCCTCACAGGGCCCCAGGCCGCCAAGGCCGCCCGGCGGCCTGCAAGAGCCAAGAGCAATCCGTGTTGTTCGGAAAGCCATTTCATGGCGGCATTTTTCTCGAGGAGCTCTTGGCATTTGTTGTTCGCACTTTCCCGCTGCTTTGAAGAGGTTCTAAATCCAAGGGATGCATCGATTGCCTCAGGGCTCCTCTCCCTGTCGCGACATAGGCGGCATCCTGCTCGGCAATGCGCCGCTAGAAGCAGGGAAGGCCCGGACTGGGACACTGCCCCCCTGCATCGTGGTTGTTGTGTTGAGACATGCTTCGCTAAAGCTGCATGAGGATGAGAAAGAGACCACCATGAATAGGAAACGAGGCTCCTGTGGGGATGTAGCACGGATTCATTGATGTAGCACCACCACTCTCCCCAGACACACGCCGCCGGCTTGATTTCCAGATGCATCTTGTTTCGAGCCTCAACTTGATGCCGATCCGAAGGATGGCAGCGTAGGCTACTCGCTGACTATCGCGACCCCGGCAGACGCGGGTGAGACCGAGGCCCACAGCCCGAAATCTGGCAAGGTTTAACAGTAAACCGCAGAAAGTTGGAAACCGGATTGAGGCCAAATAGTGCCGGGATTCCCTATGCATTAATTTCTCTTAAGGATTGCTTCTACTGTAGGGTTTATAAGGGCAGGTTCTGGTTGGAGTTCGAGGCTTATCTCGTTAGGAGCAAGACACTTGGCTTCTACTTGTCGGGAGTGCCGCTGGCTACTTGTAAGTGTGGCCTGACTGGTTGGCACATGTCTATGGAGCTTGAGTGCCAGCGGCCAGCGATCCTGTTTCTAGTTTCTAGTTAATTCCAGAACTCCGAAGTCTTCTACTTTTTCTTGCTACTGTTCCATAAGTTGTTTGTCGCACTGCACAGATCCTAGAACACGGAGAACAGCTGGGGAGCCCAAACAAGCTAGTGTTCGCAGTAGATCTGCGAACATCATGAAGCACTGACTCTGTGCACGCTAGTGGGGCGGTGGTCTGGTATATCACTTCGCATCGACGGGTTCCGCCAGTGAGCTGGCCATGCACAGTGCTCATGCGGTAGCAACAGCGATGCACATCCTACTTGCGACCACTTCTTGGATGTTTGCTTGAGGGTCTAGGTATACTTCACCATCGGAAGATCTAAAGACATAAAGATTCCTGCCGATCCTTTCACGGTTACGGAAATTCGCAGTGCAGGGGTGTCAAGCCTCCAGGTGCATCTTGCTTTACCAATCCGAAGCTGATACTTGCCTTTTGATCCGTTCATGTCACCCTTCAGCCAGGGCATGGCCATCGGCATCACCACACGGCCACCTGCAGAGTTGACTGCTGTGCCCACCACCGCAGACGAGGCGAGGCAAGGGGTCACTGCTTCGCCGTCATATCATGTGGTGTTCGAGCTGGGGATCCCCGCGAGGTCCCTGCTTCGATACCCGATCTCCATACTTTAGTAATTGTGCCCGCAACACAAGACTGTTTTAGATCAACTCCCCAATCTGAAGCTTCGCGAAAGAAGCTGTTGATCTGGAAAACTTCAGTATCATCGCATCCAAGAGTGGATGTGTGGATGTTCAACAGTCTGCTTCTAGCCAAGACAGTCCAAGTCTTGAAGCCTGGAAGAAGTACGGGCTCAGGACTGCAACAGAAGCTTCTACGTTTTCAACAACTTGGGTTTGGTCGTTGGTCGGATCTGTAAGTTGCCTGGAGCGAGATTCCGGTTGTGTTTGTGTCACGCGAACAACCATTGAGATGGAACGACCTGAAGCCAGAGTGCTTCCGTGGCGCATGTGCTCAGAGCCCGCTTCAGCTTGAACTATTCATTCACCTGAGACTAAACCCAACATGGGAACTCGAAGGAAGGGCAGTCATGTGGCTCGCGCTGATGCACCTGCATCCAGGACGAGGCCCACTCCAATCCCGAACTCCAAGCAAACAAGGTCGTAGCCCACTCACAAGAAAAACCATGCAGGAATGAAGCCCAAATCGGCAAACGTGCGAGGTGGATCCATCCTTCATGTTGGGCTTCGATGGTGCCGGCTGGGACGGTGCAGGGCTGAGCAATCTGAAGTCTCTCAAGCTTCGAAGGCTTTCAGAAACTCAGGGAGGGCTCTGCCGTGCACTTGGTAGAGTCCTGTTATGCTTTGCCTGCAGAGATGGTGCTGCATCTAACGGCAGACTTTTGGGCCTCTGAGCGTGGTTCGCGGGAGCTTGTTCGGATTCACCATGCAGAATCTGTTTGCCTGCTGCTGTGCGAGTGGCCCTCACGAGAGTTGTAGTTAGGTCGCACGATACAAGACGTGTCTGCATACTGCATGCTGTCCAAGACAGACATTGCAAGCGGGATGGCTCGCATGGCTGGGCAAAGTGCCTGTGCTGCGCAAGGTGGTGAAGACGATGTGTGGCTCGTTTGGTGTTTCGAGCACTGCTTGAAGCCTGAGCATCGCCATGTACGTAAAGAGTTGGTCGATCTCGCAACCCAGTTCGGGTGTAAGTTCGTCTATCACAAGAAGTCCATGGGATTCCTCGAATGGGCAGCGGGGAGGAAGGGGAGCATGGTGCTCGTCGCAGATTGGCGTGAAGCGAAGCCCATCATGGAGGAACTCGGCAAGCAAAGCAAGAACCATGACGCTCTTATCCCCGCAGTGCGCTTGTGCATCGTTGCACAAACGCAGAAGATAGCTCACCGCGCATCTCTCTGGGCAGGCAACAAAGAGATCACGGTGACATTGGGCTTCTCACGTCAGGCGGTCGAGAAGGTGGTGGCAAGCCATATGCCGGCTGTTCAGGCCACTCGTGTGGCAAATCCACGTGCGGAGGTTGCCATGAAGCCTGTGCCGACGACTGGGTTGTCCCTGTCCAATCTAATCCAAGCCGTCCGTGACCCCAAGCAGGCTCTTCAACTAGAGCAGCTCATTCTGCAAACGATGTGGCAACTCTACGAAGATTGAACGAGTGAGCAAAGCTAGGTCCGGCGCTAGGATTGAAAATCTAATTTTCTTCGTATGTGCCAGTCCGGCGAAAGCCGAAGGCTCCAAGGACAACGCTTTCTGGCCACACGGCCCCTTTTTTTGGTTTTTGAGAGGCCACAGCTCAAGTTTTGACTGAGCTCGGTCCCTCTAGGACAAAGCCCCAGTTGTTTTTGGCTTTGACGTTCGAAAACATGCTTCAGCGGGGTGCGCCAAGCCACCGATGGGATCGGCAGGTGTAAGCGGCATGAGGTGCGCTTGGGCTTGAGTGCGCTTCGCGGGGTTTGCCAGCATGTGTACTACAGATCTTCGGGTTGTGCTGCTTCACCATGCAAAACCTGTACACGTCTCGCTGCTTGAAGTTTCTGACAGAGTCATTGCCTGCTGCTGTGCGAGTGGCCCTCACGAGAGTTGTAGTTAGGTCGCACGATACAAGACGTGTCTGCATACTGCATGCTGTCCAAGACAGACATTGCAAGCGGGATGGCTCGCATGGCTGGGCAAAGTGCCTGTGCTGCGCAAGGTGGTGAAGACGATGTGTGGCTCGTTTGGTGTTTCGAGCACTGCTTGAAGCCTGAGCATCGCCATGTACGTAAAGAGTTGGTCGATCTCGCAACCCAGTTCGGGTGTAAGTTCGTCTATCACAAGAAGTCCATGGGATTCCTCGAATGGGCAGCGGGGAGGAAGGGGAGCATGGTGCTCGTCGCAGATTGGCGTGAAGCGAAGCCCATCATGGAGGAACTCGGCAAGCAAAGCAAGAACCATGACGCTCTTATCCCCGCAGTGCGCTTGTGCATCGTTGCACAAACGCAGAAGATAGCTCACCGCGCATCTCTCTGGGCAGGCAACAAAGAGATCACGGTGACATTGGGCTTCTCACGTCAGGCGGTCGAGAAGGTGGTGGCAAGCCATATGCCGGCTGTTCAGGCCACTCGTGTGGCAAATCCACGTGCGGAGGTTGCCATGAAGCCTGTGCCGACGACTGGGTTGTCCCTGTCCAATCTAATCCAAGCCGTCCGTGACCCCAAGCAGGCTCTTCAACTAGAGCAGCTCATTCTGCAAACGATGTGGCAACTCTACGAAGATTGAACGAGTGAGCAAAGCTAGGTCCGGCGCTAGGATTGAAAATCTAATTTTCTTCGTATGTGCCAGTCCGGCGAAAGCCGAAGGCTCCAAGGACAACGCTTTCTGGCCACACGGCCCCTTTTTTTGGTTTTTGAGAGGCCACAGCTCAAGTTTTGACTGAGCTCGGTCCCTCTAGGACAAAGCCCCAGTTGTTTTTGGCTTTGACGTTCGAAAACATGCTTCAGCGGGGTGCGCCAAGCCACCGATGGGATCGGCAGGTGTAAGCGGCATGAGGTGCGCTTGGGCTTGAGTGCGCTTCGCGGGGTTTGCCAGCATGTGTACTACAGATCTTCGGGTTGTGCTGCTTCACCATGCAAAACCTGTACACGTCTCGCTGCTTGAAGTTTCTGACAGAGTCATTGCCTGCTGCTGTGCGAGTGGCCCTCACGAGAGTTGTAGTTAGGTCGCACGATACAAGACGTGTCTGCATACTGCATGCTGTCCAAGACAGACATTGCAAGCGGGATGGCTCGCATGGCTGGGCAAAGTGCCTGTGCTGCGCAAGGTGGTGAAGACGATGTGTGGCTCGTTTGGTGTTTCGAGCACTGCTTGAAGCCTGAGCATCGCCATGTACGTAAAGAGTTGGTCGATCTCGCAACCCAGTTCGGGTGTAAGTTCGTCTATCACAAGAAGTCCATGGGATTCCTCGAATGGGCAGCGGGGAGGAAGGGGAGCATGGTGCTCGTCGCAGATTGGCGTGAAGCGAAGCCCATCATGGAGGAACTCGGCAAGCAAAGCAAGAACCATGACGCTCTTATCCCCGCAGTGCGCTTGTGCATCGTTGCACAAACGCAGAAGATAGCTCACCGCGCATCTCTCTGGGCAGGCAACAAAGAGATCACGGTGACATTGGGCTTCTCACGTCAGGCGGTCGAGAAGGTGGTGGCAAGCCATATGCCGGCTGTTCAGGCCACTCGTGTGGCAAATCCACGTGCGGAGGTTGCCATGAAGCCTGTGCCGACGACTGGGTTGTCCCTGTCCAATCTAATCCAAGCCGTCCGTGACCCCAAGCAGGCTCTTCAACTAGAGCAGCTCATTCTGCAAACGATGTGGCAACTCTACGAAGATTGAACGAGTGAGCAAAGCTAGGTCCGGCGCTAGGATTGAAAATCTAATTTTCTTCGTATGTGTCAGTCCGGCGAACGCCGAAGGCTCCAAGGACAACGCTTTCTGGCCACACGGCCCCTTTTTTTGGTTTTTGAGAGGCCACAGCTCAAGTTTTGACTGAGCTCGGTCCCTCTAGGACAAAGCCCCAGTTGTTTTTGGCTTTGACGTTCGAAAAAATGCTCCAGCGGGGTGCGCCAAGCCACCGATGGGATCGGCAGGTGTAAGCGGCATCACTGTGACGTTGCTCTAAGTCCATGTCAATCCCTTCTACGAAGCTCAGAAAGCACCTGAATAGCCAAGTGTCCTTGAATTGTCTTGAAACGATTTTTGAAGGCTCTGCCATGAAGTGGCACTACAGCGAGTGGCAGCCCTCTGAGCTCAAGGCCTTATTGGGATTTTGGAGCCCGTATTTTCTAGGATGTTTTGGGACTGGGAAACTTCAGTATGGCTTTTCTTCTGGGGTCTCTATATATAGGGAAGGATTGGGAGCTGGGGATTTCAGGGCTTTGGGGTTTGGGTGGTTTTTTGTTTCTGTTTTGCGGTTTGGGCTCGGGGCTTGGGGCTCTGCGGCTTAGGCTTGAGGGTTTTTGGGGTACATTTTCTCGGGTTATGAGGTCGACGGATTCAGGGTTTGGGGGTGCAGCGTTTAGCACAGGCAGCGCTACGGGAATGAGGGGCCTGGTGTTTTAGGGTTCCAGGGCTTTGGGGTTTGGTCGTAGGTGTGGGGCCTCAAACCATACACCCCAAATGCAGACTGAAAAGCCTCAAAAGCTTATGGTCGAGGTTGAGCTTCGTGATACAGGCCTCAGGAGATGGGTTCGTGGCTTAGGGAATACCCATCTTACTTAGTTCCTTAGGTGAAGGGTTTAGAGCCCAGACTCAGCGCATCCATGTGAGTTTGTCTTCGCTGCGACGGTGTGCAGGTACCACTGATTCACGTCTTGTTGCGATCCTCGCTCGTCTGGTTTTCTTGTCGCTTGTGTCTTCGCATTTCTATGGCCCCGGTGCTGAAGCGGACCAGATTCAATTTCGAGGACTCCGCTTCTAGAGTGTCGTGGCCTTGGCCAGCAGTGCGTTCTGCACAGTTCTCCGATCAGAGCCTTGAGTTTGCGCAACCTCTCCAGACGAAGCTCAGGAACGCGTCCCCATTTCCGCCTCTTTCAGGGTGCAGCGTTTCCGAGCCTGGTGGCCTCCCTTGCTCAGCACGCAAGCACAAGCTGCATTCTTCCCGCGAAGAAGCCCCGGAAAAACTTCTGGGCGGAGGATGGGGTCACGCGTTGGCAATGTGCGGTGCGGCGCAGGGAATTCTTGGCGTCCCGCTTCATGGAGTTCTGCGCGGCCACTTCGGGCGAGCACTTCCGCCCTCCCAGCTTGGCTGATGCGGAGGAAGGGGGGCCAGCAAGCATTACGGAATTTTTCCCCACATTACGACACCTTCCCGCCTGGTAGGGTGGGGGAGGGCAGACCATGGACCAGGCCGAGCTTTTTTCTTCGCGACAAGTGCACCATTATGTCCGCTATGTGACAGCAGCCGTTGCTAGTATTCCCCCGGTGGGTGGGCGCAGCTACTGGGTGGCCGCAGTTGAGGTATAAATGCAAGACGGTGGGTCCCAAAGCCGACCCTCCCTGCTGCAGGGCGTGAACTTGCTGCGAACATAGTCGCTAAATAGTGTGTTTGTCCGCATCGTTAAGGTAAAGTGAGTGTAACATACAAGTACAGTGTGTACCACATCACCCGATCCTCCAAGTACACCTTTGAAATTGATGAGGACCGGCCCTTTCGGATGAGTTACACTAAGGCACGAGTGCACTCTAAGCCCACGCACTCAGACTCCCAATCCGTGAAGATGAGTTCTGAGTGAGACGTCGAAAGTTGCCCGGTCATATGTAGAAGGCCGGAGAAAAGCCGCTTAACTAGTATTGTTTAGTCCTAAATGTTGCATGTGCCGTTGTGAAGTGCAAGGGTCGCTCATGCTCCATTCTACGAAGCCTTCAAAGCAATTTCAAGACGCTCGTGAGGCAAACGATGTCGTCGACGTTGTGCTGGATTCTTCTCGTCGTTTGAAGGACGGTAAAGTGATGGTGTGGGTGTTGGACGATGGCTTCAAAAGTCATACAGGGCTTTTGGGTTTAGAGCCCAGGTTTGTCCAAGATCCACTGCAAGGTTGAGGCAAAGTTGCGTTCGAGCCCGGGCTTCCATCGGTTGAGTTATATGACCACTCGAAATTTGCGTAGAAGGCTTTGTGGAGACCCGTTTCAGACGAATAGGGTGGGATCCAAAACGGAAGGGAACGGTGCCGTCATGCAGGCAGAGTTCTGGAAGATGGACAAGATATGTCGTGTGTGAACAGCTAAATCGCTACTGTGCTTGAAAGGTTGACTCCATCAACCATACATCCTTTTATTTACATGCGTGATCATATGTCTTTCTTTGTTTGTTTCACGTCTTGCACGCCTTGTATATCTTAGTACCTACCTGTGCAGAATATGGCAGAAGGGCTGCAATAAGACCCACTCAACAGGTGGTATGGCGCTTGCATTGTCCACGCATCATCTAACAGCGGATACCAACCCTTGAACCTGTAACCTCTCTGACGGTGAACCATTGCCTGTAAACCCAAGGCGCGAGACCTCATACTCATAAACAAAGCTGGAAAGTCCACAGAAGCTCAAAGCCACGCTGGCCCCTAAGCTTTGCGCACGAGGTGTCAGTGAATGGCGAGCAAAAAGCGGTGCAAACCATGCAGGCGGACAGGGGCTTTGGGGCTCTGAGTAGGCTTTTCGCAAGATTTCAGGCAATTTTGGTTTTGCATGAAGGTACTCTCGATTGCCTCCAAATTCCCGACATCGGCATGGGACTTCAGAATAGAAGGGCCGCAAAATCCAGCGGCCGTCGGCCCTCAGGCCTAAGCCTGTAGTCGCATCGGGACCTGCTCTGTCTTGGGCTTCATCCCATGGCTTGGGGAAAATGCGAACGAGCATTGGCTCTTACAGACCTTACCTACTTCGGCTACGGTCGAGTAATGTGTAGAAGGGCCGTTTTTTTTTTCCTCAGTCCTCGAGGCAGCTGCTACACCCTGAGATCCCCCATAAGAGCCCCCCCCCCCCCCCCCGAAGCCGCAAAATCCGATAGCCGATAACCCAAGCAAAGCCCATGAGAAGCTCCTGAAGCGTCCGTCGAAAGCCCCAGGTCTCGAACCAGAAGGGCCCTTTCTACGCGCTTTTGGACATCTATAGCGCTGGCCTTGGGGTCGGGGCCCCGAGAGAGGTCGGGGCCAAGGCTAGGGATGGGTGTTGGGGGTTCAGAAGATTTCAGGAGTTTAGAATGTAGGGCATGAGAGCTTGGAGATTTTTAGGATTCGGGAGCTTCCCGTGGGGTTTCTCGACTGGCTTACAAGTACCAAGGTTGTGAATCTGAGGATCATGCGCCGTCAAGACTCATCAGTAGCTTGACGTTCTCAACAAGGTGGCTACGTGTAGCTCGGTTATGACTGGGTCTGACAGTATACAGTCTACAATATGCGATCAGGACTGGAGACCCAAGCTCGTTCTGGGGGCGGTTCCCTACTTGTGATCTGATGGGGTTCCGAGGATCTTCTGCTGGGTTCCCCATAAATTGCCGACTCTTCGGAATGCCAGCTACTCCAAATTCTCTACTGGTACCATCCAGCAGTACCTATTCTCAGATCCAGTCGATTTGGTCTGCTTGTTCCGGATCCTACGGTAAATCACATTGAAGTCGCCTGTTTCTCTGCAGTAGCACCTGAGGGCTTGATCCAAACTTAGGAATTCTGATGTCGCTAGCAGTCGTGTGGGACTACTGTGGGAGGTCGCCCTCCGTGCAGCAGCCGTTCGCGACCCAGGCCAGAAACCACTTCGGGTTTGGACCACCAGTCGAAACATCAAGACCATCATAAAGCAACTAACGCGAAGGCCTCGAGCTTTGTCAAGAAGAAAAACGTCTTCAGTGATAATTCGAACTCCGCAGACCTTCTTATGAAACTGAGGGTTTCAAGCTCAAGGGTGCAACGAGGTTTTTGCTCCGGAGACTGAAGGGTTAAGCAGGTTCAGAGTTTAGGCTCAGGGCTGGATGTAGTGTGGGAAAATCAAAATGTTGCGGCTTCGGAAGCTGATGATGCTGCTGAGGGCCTCAACATCCTGCAGCTCTGCCAACTGAGAAACCTGGAATTCCTTGAAGCCTCCGCCAGGCTAGCCCTTCGTCCATGGCTTTCTTCATCTACGTCAACGCAGCACCCTCGGTACACAGGTGACCCTCTTGCAGACAAGGTCTCTAGACCGCAGACCACGGAACCCCACACCGAAAACCTTTCTGCTGTTCCACTACGTTCCAGCCTCGGCTTCACAATATCCAGCAATCTTGTTGCTGTGTACTCTCTCTCTCTCCCTCTCACGCTCCTTCGTTGTCTTGTTCTTGTCTCTCTCTCTCTCTCTCTCTCTATCTCTCATTCTCCGTATGTATATATGTACATAGATAGATAGATAGATCTGTATATCATGCATATATACGGTCGTCAGGTTGGTGGGCGGGCCAACTGAGCCTCTTCAATCTCTGTCCTTCCGAGTTGTGATTGGACAGCTTCTTGCCGCTTCCGCCGCTTCCGCTTAGGGCTCCACAAAATTAGTCGTCTGAGATGCCCGCAGCAAGCTCTGCAGAGGAAGGGTGCATGGCTTGCGGCTCTTCCACAGCTGCATCTGTGAGGGCTAGAGTCCCAACATGATGTTCACCGTGACAGCAAAGAAGACGATGGTGATAGCTTCCTGGTCGTTGTGTGTTGTTCGGGCGGCGGGCTCTCTTGCTTCGGGGTGCAGGCTCTCGGTCGTTCTGTCACTTCTCTCAACGCTGTAGAATCACTCAATATGCACGCTTTTTAGTACAACCCTGCACGCACGAACTGATCAAACCCGCGAAGCTCATGGACAGCTGAATGGTCGAGTTTCAAACTGTATAGCGAAAGTTGCAACCAACAAGCAGCGGCCGCAGAAACGATATTGAACTTTCATGTATCCATGAAACAGAAACACACTACATAGTACTGGTGGGCATCACCACAGAGAATCTCTCTCAACAAAGGTAGGTTGGGCAACGCTCAGAGTACTTAAGTTGAAAACCACATCGATAGTGGGAATCCTCTTCAGCTTCCAAGCAGCCATCTATAGGACGATTTCCGAATTCTCCTGTACGTCTGCGTTGAGGTAAATCTAGCGCCGCAATCATGCCCCAGACCCGAAGCTCGAGCTCGGAACCCGCGATACCCAGACCTTGTCAGCCCTACTCTAGAACACAAACCCTTCAACCCTAAACGCTGAACCCTAAAACCCTAAAACCCTAAAGCCCTAAAGCCTTGAAGCTTCAGGACCCCGTCCCGATCGTGCCGCAGTTCGCGGACTCCCAGTTGGGAGTCCCCCGCCTGCGAGGAGTCGAAGGCGGATGGAACGGCCTTTTGCGCTTGAGGGCTCGCTTTTGGAGCCTTACTGCAAGGCTCTTTGATGTTGAGGTTTAGGGTTTAGTTCGGGGTTTTAGGCAAATCCGGGTTTAGCGGGTTTTAGGGCTTTCGATAACGGTTTGCAGATGTTGAGTGCTGGTTTCGCAGAGCTCCCTGACCGACTCTCGTTTGATGCGCGCGGTTGGGTCCCCTTTGTGCCTCAAGCACATCCTCCTGAGCGAGGCTTCTCGTTGTCTGCTGAAAGCAAGCTCTGCCGCACTGGGAGCTGACAACCCAGAGCTGCGCCCAGGTCTCATCATGCAACATTGACGTTCGAAATCCAGGCAGCGCGTTCGAGATGTGGAAATTCAGATGGTCGGCTGCCGGCACGGAAACAGATCCTGTTTGATCGGCGACGGATGCGTCTCTGGCTCCATTGCAGTATCTTGCAAAAAGAAGCGATGGTCAGCCTTCCCCGCGCGAAGCATGTTCAGAACTCATTGCCTGTCACTCGACGACGGGCATGCATTTGTCTTCGGCGTGCGAGGTGCGCACGAGCTTGTACTGGTTCGCGAAGAAGAACCAGGGCTAGACTGCATCGTTTAAAAGTCGTGGGTTTGTTTATCGTTCGTGTGTGTTACTTCGGATGCAGACGATTCAGCAGAGAGGATCGCTGATATTCTTGAAAGCATTGCGGCCCTTTTCAGCTTGCAGAAGTTAGTTGTTGGGACCACTTGTAGGGCCTTCAGGCCAAGCTTAGGCTTGCGTTTGACCTGGGATACAGGCTTGTGCTTTTCGGTTGCAGCCTTGAGGCTTGGGGTTTGAAGCCTGGGGCTGTTGTTGGCTTGCCCAAAACTCGCATATATATATATATACACACACACGTCATTGAAATCTAGACGCCGAACGAGCACCTGGCACTAAGCACAGGAATTTAAAGACTAAACTTGAAGCCCTAAACTCAACCCTTGGAATCATACACCCCACATGCTCGGAGCCATAAACCCTGGTATATTGCAATCGTAATCATACAGCAGTATTCTACAGCATATCATAATATGTAGTAGTATATTGCACTCGAACCACAAACCCTCGCAGCCCCGTGCCGCAAACAGGAGTTCGCCGAGCTCCGGGCCACGAGCCCCAAGCGCTCATCCTGCTGAGCGCCAGCGGAGAACCCCGGCTCTTAGGGAGCAGAAAGGTCAGAAAACGCCCAACACATCCATGTAAGATACAATGTAGACATCTATCTACTGCATACACAGATGTACATGTATGTTTGCAGTAAATGCATATGCATGCACATATATATATATATACACAGACATATGTGTCTACTTTTGTACATAATTATTTCTGTAATTTCTTACATGTATATATGTATGTATGTACATGTGTATATATGTATATATGTATATATGTGTATAAGTGTAAAGGTATATGTGTATATATGTACATATGTACATATACACATGTACATATATATATATATATGTGTATATATATGTATAGTCTTGGATGTAAATCTGTATATATATATATATATATGTTACTATGATAGGTTTTGTATTGTATATATCACACATTATATATGTATATATATATATATATATATATATATATAATATACCGTATACTATGTATCACATGTTTTTTTTTTGAATTTTGCCTTCTGCACTAGTTCCTACATTTGTATGTGATATAAGATTTTGCTGTTCTTTACTATTAATATGGTATATTCTTCATGACGTATTATTTCATTTTGGGATTAAGTAATTTAGAAGATACTTGTACTTTCTACATGACAAATGTATACTATATCAGGTTGTATTCTACTGTTCATATTACGCGATTTATATCATAGTAGTTTATATCTTACCATGTGATTTTGTATTGTACTATACTCAAGAATATCATATTATGTTCTATTATATTTGATTCTGTTCTAGTCTATTATCTTATATGATGTTATATTCTTTTCCGATTGTAGGATTTGGGGTTGGGGGGCCTAAGCGATTAGCAGCGTCATTTCGGTTAGCGCGTTTCTTTATCAGGCTATCTCAAGCGAAACCCTTGTCACTGTTCGAAACCAGGCTTCAAAGCCTGCACACGAACTCTGCCATATCGACCTTCTTGGAAGACATGGAATGGATTTTTTCTCGCCAGTTGCAGCTCAGGAGTTTTCGATTTTAGGTACGAGTTCCGGAGTTTGGAGGTCGGCGTTTCCATTGCGATTAACCCAGAAAGAATCTAACAGTACTACCTGAAGGCTGCCCTCATCCTGACCTTGGCATCCGAACAGATTGTTTCGCAACCTGGGCCCCGGAAAAAGAGGACTTCACCCTGAGAGCCGGCCTGCGACGGACCACAGGAGAAGCACAAGCAGTGGCGAGCGCATTCGGGGCCTGAAGGGTCTGGGAGCCAAGGCTGAGGCTGTTAAGGTATCGGGGACATTGCATGAGCGTAACTTCGGTTGGGGAAGCAGATACAATAGATGCATCATGCCCAGAGACTGCAGCATCAAAACCTCGAAAGGAGCTTCCTCGCTTGGTTGTTCCGTAGATGGCTTCGGCTTGCAACTTCATGCACGTTCGGCAAGTCTTCCCTAATGTGAGACTAGCAAGCTTCGAGAATCTCTTTAAACTGCATGCTCGAGTTCTCAAGGGGCAGGTCTTGACTTAGAGTCAGACCCTTGATTTGTACTGCTGTTGAGTTAAAGTTACGGAGGGGGGGAGGTTGGACTTTGGCGTGGCCTTTGCTCTCACTGCTTGCGTACAGCATCTCCCTTCCACGAAGCGTGCGCCGCTTTCGCCGAACAAAAGGGGCTGCCCGTGTGGATGCATTGTGTTTCGAACAGGTCCTTACAAGGTGTTTGGTTACGTGGCTCTGAGCAAGATTTAGACGGTGAGCATCGTAATAAATACACGTGTTTTCGTTGCTGTTAATAATAATGTATTGGCAAGAACCACGCTGACAATGGTCGCCAGAATCTAGCACCTAGCAGAATCATCATGCAGGTATCGAGTTTTATGATAATCCATGCGTTCGGTGTCTTCGGTTAAGGGTTGCAGAGATTCTGGGCGTTTCGAAGCTTTCATTTAGATTGAAGATGCGCGACACAAGACCTACAGTGCTGAATTAGCTAAATTGCTTCACAGTCCTTGTGTGGCTTGAAACTGGCTACGACACGCTCCCACAAACATGGTCTTGTTAGCTCAACGTGAAGTTACGAGGTAAACTTTCGTGGTGTTGCCGAAATCTCGCGCTTGAGGCCCTTGTCGAAGAAGTTCTTCTCTTCACGAGCGGTGGCAAGGAGGTTGTGCATCCCGCAGCTGTTGCAGCTCGGAAGCTGTCGTTCTGGGGAGCCAGCAGCCCGGGAAAAGCACTGGTCGGCAACACAGGTTTACTTCAGAGGTGGGGTCTCATGCTTAAGGGGCCTCGAAAGCTAAGTCTAGACTTCGGTGCATCATATTAGCCACAACAAACGATTGAGCCTTGAAGCTCTGATCAGACGACTGCACATTTGGCGTGGGGCTTGAGACGGAGGCTCTCACTTAACTTCGGGTGCGCTGGCCGGTTGGGACATGGTCTTCGTCTCTGGAGGCACATAAATGGCGCCTGGGCCGCGATCGACCAAGGTTAGGTTGGGCAGTTCAGGGTTGTTCGGCTTGGTGCTTTGGTGTGAACTAGACTCAACTAGATGCCTTGAGCAGTCTGCAAGTGCCTGTTCGGGGGTCTTTTTGCTGCTGCGTTCGTTATCCCGAGCATC